CTTGCGTGTCTGGAGCGGGGCCCGCTTGCGTGTCTGGAGCGGGGCCCGCTGGCGTGTCTGGAGCGGGGCCGCTTGCGAGCAAACAGCTTTAGCGCCGGCGACTGTACGTTTTGTCAATGGGTCCAAGTGTCGCTCTAGTGGTCGCTCTTTTTGGGAGATCTACCATGAGAAATCTTTGAGGTGTTGAGGACAGGAGAAGCTGTTTTCACCACTCGCACTCCATGTGCATACAGACATCAATCTGTTCCGCAATTCTTGACTATGGCAGAAGACATAAGCTTCGCTGTTGGGGAAAAAACTCATCCCGGACGCCTGGCCCATCACCCACCCATCGCCTGCCAAGAGCTCCAGGAGTGCTGATGTTGTCTGCAGTGGTGCTGCCACGTTCCTCGAAGGCTGGACGATACGAGAGAAAACGGTGCAAAACACGCAGATATAGTAGGACATCCTATGGTATCAAGAAATTTCTGCCCTGGAGATATCCTATATCGTATAGTATCAAGACATTTCTGCCCTGGAGATATCCTATATCAGTTCCTATATCGTATAGCATCAAGACATTTCTGCCCTGGAGATATCCTATATGTCGAGTCCTATATCGTATAGAGTATCGTATAGTATCAATGTCTGCCCTGGAGTTATCGCAGAATGCAAACAGAAGTACAAACAGAGTTATCACTGCAATCATTGACCTTCAACTTGCGTCAACGAGTAATCAGTTTTAGCTTGCTTAAATGTCTTTTGCTTGGCGCCCGCATGCACTAATGCTTTCAAATGTCAATGTAGCAAGAATGAGTGCGAGGATGCTACCAAACACACCAGCTCAACTGTGAAGAACACCCTCAAACAGAAGCAGAACAGCTGAATTCCGCCCCTCAATCACCCTGCACCTGGCCATGCCATCCGGTGGTCGGAATGCGCCTCAGATGTCTACTTTGTGAGACTAGACTGGAATCGGTGCTGGAATCAAATAGCTCCTCGATAGTCTCCTTGATCACTGTACTATGACTAGCACTGTGACTACTATTACGCCCATTGATGAAAAGATCACTTCTGTTGAGTCTAGTGTTGTAGACTCTACAGATCAGTGTGACCAGGGCTCTGTTGACTTGACATGGTCTTTGGAGTGACCAAATGAGCCATAGGATGAAGCAGGGGAAAAGAAATTGACTGACAGAGCGGTGGGTATGCGGAAGTCGAATGGCTTTTAATGGTTCTTGTTTTGCTCCACATATTCTCCATTTCATCTCAGGGCAGAGATGTTCTTATACTGTACCTACTTACTGCTGTACTTTACTATGTTCACACAGTTGTTCACACTATACACACTATAACCGTAATGCAATGCTTCGCTTTTCCGCTCGCTTTTGTCCCTGTCGCTGCGTCCTAAAGGCTTGGTGCAGCTTGGGTGCCGCCCCTCCCAGCAGCACGATCTGTTTGATGACTTGTTTGGTGTATCTATGTTTGGGACACAATCCATCCTGCTGCTTCAACCCAACTTCCAGAATGGAGGTCTTTCGAGGCTCCAGCCGCCAGCACCAAGGCCTCTACGACCCAATGAACCACGATGCTGCGTGGCCATCTTGCAGCAGCTTGCAATCCGGCAGGCTCAAAGGAGTGCTCAAAGGTATCCATGCTCACCTTTAACGTCACTCCAGCCCGCTACAACTCGTGGCGAGAGATGGCAACCCAGCAAAGCCGCATCGAAGCTGCAACCAAGTCTGCAACCAGGTCATGTTGACCACAAAACACTGAAGTCAAACTCTGGTGGTGGGAGTCGCACCCTCCTTGGCTTCACCAAGACGCCGCTGGACAAGCTCTTGCAAACCTGCGCAAGCTTGCAAAGATTCAGCTGTACCCTCCGCGGGCTGCAGAACCTGTGAGCCGGCAAGTTGATGCGATGCCGGGAGCCGCCACTCATCAAGACAAAAAAGGAAGACGGCATCATCTGCGAGCATAGCTCGCTCAGCGCCTCGATGCTGTGATGCTGGAGAATTTGGCTGGTGCTGGTACTCCGCAGAAACTCACCTTGCAGCTGCTCAAAGTCTCCCATTGCACCGCCGGGCCTGGTTTCCAAGAACTCCAGCATGTTCTTTGCAACGAAGTTGCCAACTTCCGGAATTTGCCTTGCTGCCGTTTGGAACATGGAGCTGTTAAGACTTCCGGCCACGGCCCTGTCAAGTTCCACCGACCACATTTTGAAAGCTTCGGTGTCTGTCGCAGCGAGGAGCAACCTGTTGCGAAAGCATGTGTCATCACGCTCAGCCCCAGAAAGCTCAGTGGTTGTAATGCTATTCCGACCAAAGCGCACGCTGTATGTTCTCACAAAAGCATCCTCAAAGGCGACTTTTGTGTCCAGAAAGGCAGCGTTACCTTGGACGCTTCTCCAAGCCTCCCACTGCTGCAGCCAATGCACAAAGTCACTGCTTCGCAAGCGGCTGAAGAGGAAGAACCTGGGCAATAACCGGCCACATCAATGAACACGAGACGGAAGCCGAGGGAGCACTAAACCACCCTATAACCGCACCGAACGTTTGTGACCATATCTCATCTGCCATACTGGCTATCTGCGTTACTATCTGCTAATCTATCTGCCATCTGAGAATAAACGAGTTCAAACTTGTTCTTGACTATGATACTGTTCGTGATACTCATAGAAAAGAATTATCGAGTTCTATGGGGGCTGCTCATGCCCCGCTCAAAGATTTCCGATCGTATTTCTCACATGTGGGGAAAGTGGTTACGTGCGACGATGAGTGCGACGATGCCGAGCCCAGTGCATGACCCCTTTCAAGCCAAGAAACGCAACTGCGAACCAAGGACGGCCAAGGAAGCACCACAGCTGTGGCTCTGGAGAAGGCGCTGGCAAATGCAGCTGGAGCATCTGCACCACTTCCAAGAAGGTAGCCGTGGTGCGATGCCGCGCACTTACCCAAGGCTTCGTGCGCCAGCCCTCGCCTCGTGTGATGGACAGCTTCGGCGACTCTTGGGCCTAAGAGTGAACAAAGGCAGGAACCCCTTGGCACTCAAAGCGCGCCGCCCCCTCCTGGCGTGGCAGTGACACGCAACAAAGGATGGCAATCATGTAGCTCACATACGTCTCAGCCAGCGTTTCAAGTGCAGCACCAGGCAGCCAATCCAATTGCTCTGACGGCTCTTCCTCTGCATCAGCTGCCAGCCGTGACCGAGTCCGTGGCCGCTTGTTGCAACTCTTTGCTTGGCCAACGCCACTGCCAGTGCCACTGCGAAGGCGTTCCCAATCAGAAGCACTTTGCGACATATTATCGAGATCGCAGGCGTGGAAGAGTGCGTGGAAGTTGAGTAGTGAAAGTTGTTTAACATGTTCCTTCATTGCTGTAGTCATTGCTGTTTGACACTGTTGTTGCTACAGTTGTTGCTAGCTTCAGGGCATGCTCGACAGCCAGTTTGTTTCTGCGTGCTCGTTTCCGTACGAGTCTGCAAGAGTCTGTAACCTACTCTACCAAGTTTGTATCATGCGTGTGTGCACAGTCGCGGGTGGCTGTGACAAGTCTGATATTGTCTATAGCATTGCCTAGTGTATTGTCTATGTAATACTGTAGTACATACTGTTTGCATGACAACGTTTCCTAAGAAGACATCTCTGCCCTGAAGCTGAGCTGGCTGTGGCTATGATTGCATACTGCCATGAATGACATCCAGCCATACACAGGTCAGCCTCATACACTCATCTGTTCCACCTACCAGGCGGTTTTCTCGGGACAAGGACCTCTGGGAAGCAACAACGGCGACCCCGTGACGACATGACCCAGAGGAACCGACCCTTCCAAAGGCCGGCCAAAGGCTTGTGAGTAGGCTTGTGATCCGATTCCGTGGTGAATCAAAAGCAGGAGACCGACCGGTTGACCGATACCTGGGTACGGTCAAGCTGTTTGGTTCTCATGGATCTGTTCGTACCGCCGTGTCGAAGGTGAGCCAGGGGTCGTCTTCTATGGTCGTCACTCGTACCTTGTGAGGAGGTACGAACGGATCTATAGGGGATGTTGGGGCTCCAGGTTTGGACCTACGTAGATTCCGTCGATTCCAGGACTGGCTCATCGCACTTTATGAATATTGTGGTGATATACATCTTTTTGGTTGGTTCAAGGTAAAAAAAGGTGCCTTGTTCACACAAATCCACGGAAAAAACATATGGATACATATGGGTACTGTAGTACCTTGTTCATACATCTCTTTGCATCGGGCATTGGCACCAAGTTTTCCAATGGAAAGACACTTGGGTCCCAAATGTTCCTAAGGAAAGCACAGGGATGCACACCCTCAGCCCCCCATGCCCATCACTGGGTTTCCCGACGCGGGCTTCCCGACGCTGTGACCATGGTAGCGTGTGCGAAGTTCATGAGAAACTTTGTGTGGTCAAACAAGCGACATGCATGTTTGATGCAGCAGAAAAGCCCCTCAAGGCCTTAAAGTCAAGGGGTCTCGTGCTACGTATCTTATTTTCACTGTTCTCGCAAATAATATGGCTGCAGTTATGGCTGCTTAGCACGAGAAGCAGGTTGGGCGCTCATGCACTTCCTGTGAAGGTATGAAGCTGGACAGGAATACATTGTCGATTTCACGCGTTTGAGTCCAAGCTTTCAAACATAGATGCATGTAAAATAGCAAATGAAATGTATAAATTAATGGAACAAACGTACGGGGGACCCTCATATACATTGTTAAGGTGTGGGTGTATGTGATTTGACATTGTTGGCATATGTTATATGCTATATAACAACCATATATGTCAGGAATAGCAATAGTTTTAATATTAATAGTAGCAGGAATAACAATAACAATACAGGTTTATATATATGTGGTCCCATTGGCCGTGTCTGGGAGTAAAAATCATTGTCGAGATCATCGAATTCGCGGGCGCACTGCTTGCCGAAGGGGAGGTCGCAAAGCACTGCGTCGACGGAAGAGCTCTTGAGCCTCACGGTGGGGTCGCGTCACAGACGAAGGGCACATGCAATATTGCATTGGGGTGGTTGAAAAGGGGTGAATGTAGGCAAAAACAAAAATATATATATATATCATACATGGAGTGCCTGGGTTCGCAATCACACTTGTGGATCTTGTGGCTGAAGAGGTCGTCCACTTTTTTTGTGGCTTCGGGGATTTAGTCCAGGAACTGGCAAAAAATCACACCTGTTCCCCATGCCAGGGGATTCACCCAGTTCTGGAGAAGAAGAAATCATCTGATCCGCCAAACCCGGGCGGTCAGTATGACGCGAATCCTGTGGCAGGGTCTAAGGTCTCAATTTGGGGGGACCGGTCAAGCTGTGAACGGAGCGTGAACGGGCATGTCTGGGCACTTATTACACTATCCCCAGCGGATCCAAGTCAGCGCAAGACGAGTAATCTATAGATGTTGTTTTTTCTATGGTTTTAGTATATGTTTGAGTCCAGCTGGATCACCTGGTTACCAGCTATAGTGGTAACTGGATCCACTGGCTAATAGTAGTGTAGATGATACCCTGAAAGAATGAATCTCCGAACTTGGGGAGCCTCATATATTTATTGTCTATATATTACAAAGGGATGGTTAGCGTTCGCATGCGTTCGCATCTCTTGCACAGAAGATTGCAAAGCCGTGCCAGTTGACCAGCGCTGGCTGCCATGGAATTCATTGTATTATATCTAAAAACCACAAAAACACCAACTCTCCGACTTGCCACTTGTCAGGAACAAGCACAGAACATGATCGAAGAATCACATCAATCACAAAAGAAAGGCACGAGTGCCTTCCGTTCTTCACTCTTCAGATTCCAAGTACCCACCGTATGGCCATCTTTGCCGACCCCCGTTGGTTGCTTGACCTGGAAATCCAGTCCCAACCAGAAACAGTTCTGGTTGTTCCAATTTCTCGTGCCAGCTTGGGATCCTTGACATCACAAGTAGCTGGGACCGGGGGTGGTTGGGCTTCCAGGACATGATGATCACTAACTCCTCTGATATTCTCTGAGTCTGGTTTCCTGGTGTTTCACCCCATCCATCTTCAAGAATTCCTGGAATCATCTTGCCTGATGGGGATTCACCGATTCACGCGCAAGAAAAATACCTTCCAAGACCTGAGGCCAGTTGGCAACCCCAAACCCATCCATCTTCAACAGTCCCTTGGATTTGGTGTCCAGGACCCGGTAAAAAAAAAGAAACAAACAACAGCCAACAAAAAAACACCTCACTATTCCATCATATTCCCCATGCCAGGTGGAACATCACACCTCCTAACTCAGCAAAACGCTGGGCTCCTGTCCAGTCTCCCCGGGCTCTCCAGTCTCGCTCGTCTCCGGGCCGCCCGCGCGGCAGCCGTCGGGCGTCGCTCCGGCCGAAGGACAGCGAAGCACATGGAGCCTGGGACCGAGACGATGTGACGTAACACCCGACTCGACATACCAGGACACTACGTATATATAAGGGGTGTCGAACTTGATCTAGCCCCATAAAAGACTAGAGGTGATTCGGGGTGTCCATGAACCACCCCGACAGTGGGTCCTAGTATAGTTCTTATGTGTGTTCTATTATGTTGGTGCTGTGTTTTTTTGTATGGCCAACTCCAGCCTTTCATGAGGTCCATTCCAGACCTGTAGGGTCATGAAAAACATTCGCAGCTCCCGGTCGCTCTACGTGCCCTACCACATTCTTGAAAAAGTGGATTTGCTGATTTTGGACGTGGGGAAAAATAGAACATCTTCCCCGTGCCAGGCAATTCAACCAGTTCTGGAAAATGTCACATCACCCGAATGAAGCAAGACCCATGAAGCATTATATACTCCTTTGGTCGAAATGCAAGCTTGCTGGGCTCCGAATCCTGCGCAGTTCTGAATGCCACACTCCAACACTCCATGACTCCACGTGGACATCCGGGACCCTCAGGCCCGGACCGCCTCCAGGACCGCGGAATTCTTCCGAGAGCGCTCCTGGTGCTGTGGAAGAACGGGCGGCTTCTCAGGTCCGGAGCTCCAATCGAAGACAGTCTCGGGGATTCGGGGATTCTGAGCATCGGTGACTCGTGGCTCGTGACTCTCAGGTGTTTTCTGAGCGTTTCAAAGGTGGACGACAGGACCTCGAGAGGTTGGGATAGGCTATGGATAGGCCATAGGACTCTAAGAGAGGTTGGGAGACCTTCTGGGACTCGGGATAGGCTATGGTCCATGAGACTGGTCAACCTCAGCCGGCACGACTTGCCAGTCTTCGAGGTTGGTTAGGAAAACCCTAGTTGTGAGGGTCAAAACATGTCAAAACCCTAGCGAATGGGGTTGCTTTTCCTTGTGGAGTTTTGGGTCCAGAACATCAGATCAATTCCTCAGACCACAGCACCTGCTTCGGCACCCTCTCCAGCTGCTTCGGATCGTCGTCCAAGCCCAAATAGAAGGCGCCAGGCCAGCACTGTGCTGCCTCATTGGACTGCCATTCCGGGCGTTTTTTGGTGTCGGATCACATGTGACACATGACCACCATCAACCACCTATCCCTGATGTTGGCACCACGAGAACTGCATGTCCCAACCCGCTCACTGCAAGGACTCTGAAATCCGAAAATTGCAGCGGGAACGCAGCCAATGCATCTGGTTTTGGCGGCCTTTCCTTAAAGTCCTCAGCGTTTTAAGTTGGGGGTTGGCTGTTCAAAGCCATCCTCTGGTTTTGGCAGTGGATGATACCCTTCTCCTCCACTAACCCTCTTCAAAGTGGAAAAAGCGAGGGTAGCCACGCACCTTGGTCCACTCGGGCACCATCTTCTTCGTTTTCTGCGTGCTTAAAGCGTGCTTCAGCGTATAGAAAGGAGAGACGTCCAGCAAACAGGAATTGATTCTGTTTTGCTCTTTGGTTGGTTTTGCCCCAAAAAGCCTCAGTCCATATTTAGCCATGTTTCACATGTTTCACAGTGCTACATGAAAAAGACCGGGTGCCGTTCGGCCTTTTTCTTCGCCCGAGGTACTGCACACCCCGTCCGATCGATGTGACTTCAGATTGACCCCTGTTTGTAGAGGAAACTTGCTTGGATTTGCTGTCCAGGAGCTGGAAAAAAAAGAGAACATGTATACCTAGATCCTCCCACTGTGCCAAATTTCAGTCTTTTGGCTGGTTTTATAGATGGACAAAAATAAATTTGACACCATTGGAAGATCCAGGTATATATAATTGATATATTCCCATGCCAGGGGATTCACCCAGTTCGGGACAATAAACCATCACCTCAAAAGCCAGAATTGTCTTCCAAAGGGCCATTGTCCTTGGTCAGTTGCAGGTAGTTTAAGACTGGTGCCTCGTCCCGTCCGGTCTGCCTCCAGCAAAAGGATGCCAGAGCCACACATCCTCACGAGTTCTTGCACAGGACTTGGCCGGCGATAGGTTGGGATGGGGTGGAAGAATCTGAAGTTCCTCTACCAAGGCAAGTCCAAAGAGTCAAATTATAAAAAGAATTGTCTTTAATTAGGTACCTGAAACGGAACGTCCTTTGCTTCACTGGGGCAATATAATGCATAGTGTTTTCGACTTCTAAAGCAAGTTGCCAAGTCCCAAGTCCCAACTGAGATCGTCATCTTCTAATTTTGAGAGGGCTCTCGGTCTGAAAAAACGGTTCATACGTTCATCCAACGGAACCTGGGCAGGTTCCCGTTCTTTGTCTCATCCAAAAACCGGTCTTTGAGGCCAAGGCCACAACGGATAGGTTCGTTGAGTATCTCTGAGTATCTCGTGGCGAAGACCGGAAACACACGCGTGACGCTATGGCGCGCGTGTTCGCGTGTTCATCCGTTTCATTCGAAGACTTCCATCGTTTCAATTCGGCGAGTTGCGGATCAAGCACCAAGTCCCCAGGAGAGGGTTCAACGGTCCTGGAGGGTCGTCGAAAAGGCACCGAGCAGAACGGCAGGCGAACGTGTGGCCTCGTCCGACGAGCGTCGACTGGTGACTGGTTGCAAGTTGCTGCTCAAAATCGTTGGTCAACACGGGCCGACGGTTGCCCACAATGATGTATATGCATGGTTCCACACACAATACGAAATCCGACTTTTTTTGGATCAAGTGGCTGGCAGTAAGGCTGGTGAGGTGGTGCGTTTGGGAAGCAAAGTTTGTACGAATTCGTAACCCTCCAGCCAAGTTGCATGTTCTGTGACATGTTCTCGTGGATTTCTCCAAATCCAACTGACATTAGAATGTAAAGCAATATATAGACCAGAATGGCCACGAACTTGCCGTGCTCGTTATGACCTTGTCCAGAAAGGACGCTTGTCCGGGTGGTGCTCTTCACTTCGGACTCCATCAAGCTCCCCTTGTTCGGCCCTGTCCTGGCCATGGCCCAAGCTACCGGCTGGGAGAGGCCAGGGAAAGGCAGTTGAGCCTGGAGAAGGACGTCGGCGCAGTCGCTGCGTCGGACGAGGTGCATCCAGGTGGAGGGTGGGGGCGGTCGACAACGACACCATCATCCGCCAGGCGCAGTCGGTGCTTCCCCAAGAGAATTCCCACACAGAACCTGCCCATCGATCGCCGCCTGGCGCCCAAAATGGGGCAAGTCTCAGAAGGAACCATTTCTGAGTTCAGATATATATATATATCATCCATTCTGACCCACTCACCTGGCATATTTGGTCTGGAAGATCCATTTCGGGGCAGGTCGCTGCATACCATGTAGACATGTACATCGTGGGAGTGTAGGTGAGGGGTGTAATGCAACAGACTCTGAGGGGTTCAAGCGTGGCCTTCAGATCCCCCCGAGATGATCAAACAGCACAACTTCTGTTCCCAAGCTTGCCCTGCTTTGGTGTCAACCTAATTGAACAGAAAGTCTCGAGATTCTCCGCAGCGATTTGTTTTCATCAACGGTTTGTTTTACGGCCAGGGACATGTGCGCATTTGGGCCCTGATTGTTTCCATCTGTACAAACATGTAGAGAAAGGCACTATACTATAATATAAATATATATATATATAGAGAGAGAGCGGGTGGTCGTGGGGCCTGGGCTTTGGTTTTCCATAAATTTAAGGTAAATGTTTCAGTGCCAGCCGCTCTCCATATAGAAATGTATTCACGAGCAGTTTTGTTAGTTTGAAAGCAGCAATCAGTCATTCAGATGGTTCATGAAAATGTGACAAGATAATGAGGAAAGAAGCAGACCAAGGAATCAAACAATGTGTGTGTACAAGACAAACACACACTTGCAAAAAGGCACTTATTTTCACACTTTGCTTCAGGTTTATGCAGCAGATAGCTCTGTACATAGGCCAATCTCAAAATGGGCATAACTTTGCGAAAGCATTGCTCCGCTCAGCGATGCGATGCAGGTCGCTTGAGCATGCCGGCAGGCCGCTTGACACATGCGTAGGACTTAGACTTGCTCTTGCCTACCTTTTTGACACCCGTAAAAGAAGGAGCTATCAAGTCCATGAAGTCATTGTGCGCAATCTCTGTTTTGCCATTCTTCTGCAAGTCACCTGCCAAGACGTCATCAATATCGTGGTTGCAGGGAATATTGCACGCATGTCGTCCAGCTCCTTGGTCGAATTGAGCAGAGGAATAGCGTGCCCACACAGTAGCATCTTCTTCCTGAAGCAAACAGAGATTGAGGGTATGATTGCCAATGCGTGACACAAAACAGCAAAGTGGTCAATTATGAAGCATGCAATGAAGGAAGACAAGGGACAGACGGGTTCAAGAACGCCTTGAGGAAAGATGCATCCATGCGCTGAAGAAGCCCGTCATCGAAGACACCGGGCTTAAACTTTGTGATCGGCTCCGCCTTGAAGAAGTCAAGGTGCTTGGCAGTTACGATCGAAGGTACCAGATCCGTGCGCGCTGCCTGTTCAATTTCAAATTGAGACTGAGCAAAGAGAACCGTCTTGGAGCCAAAAGATTTCCCCACACGTGTGCGTCCGATCCATGTATCGCATTTTGGCGCATACTCGGCAACATATGCACGAGGACATTGTCCAGAAACCACGGCACGAAGCTTTTCAATGTGGAAGGCCAATACTCAAGAGTCTTGGCATTTTGTCTTCCACGGTAATAGTTCAGCAATGCAGTGGTGACTTTTCCTTCACTCCGGCCTTCGAGTGGACCACCCGGTCTGTGCACTTGTTCGTCAGTCCATTCCATAAACTGATTTCTATTGTTGCTTCTTGGCCCGTGGTCCCGAATGAAGCGATAGCCGTTCTCCCGTGCTTCCTGATCTAAAGTGATCTTTTTCTCAAGCTTGGGCTGTATTGTCCATAACCGCAACTGCATGCCACCCATTCTGTCGAGCATATAGTTGGAAGCCATGAGACCATTTCGGCTGTGTGATCCCCAATCGAAACGCATGGGGGAACCATGGCAAGTGTTGATGCAGTCCTTGGACATGACCTTGTTTTTGTGCATGTAGATGTGCTTGAAAATATCCACAAAGTTGTCATCTGGATTTGGAGGATCAGCCGCAGGGAGCACCACGATTTGCATGCTATAGGGAACTTTGGGCTCTTCTTTGAGATTGAAAGGAGATGGTAGTTCACTATACTTTTCTTGCACACACAGTCAATACAAGGTATGATCAAGGAATTCTTGAGTGGCGTTGCATTTGTGGTTCAGAACAATGTCGGCGTATTGTTCCACCTTGCCTCCCATCGAGTCCATATTGCGTAGAGGTAAGTCTCCGAGACAGACATCTCCACAAGGACGATCGGACTTGAAGTGTCGTTTCTCAGGTCCCACGAGCTTCTGACAATTGACCTGGCCCAAGGCTTCGGCGAAGGTCAGGGCCCCGTCTTGTCCACCGAGATCACGATTGAACCCATCGCCGCGGCCTAGTTCCAGATCAGCCATGTGGACGCAGAGGAAAAGCGAAGAAGACACGAAGATGACGAAGGTGTAAAAAGCTTGAGCGACAAGATGCATCAATCGAGAAGGCTTTGAAATTAACAGCAGAAGCAACATCAACAAGCAAAAAAATAAGCTCGCAAAGATTTCTAACTGTTTCATGTAAAGGACAGAGTGTCCTCGCAACTGCATGTCAAGAAATGCAAGTGGCAACCGCATTGATACCTGTCAGCAGTTAATGCACTCAGACTTGTATATGGAGATGTGGACAAGGACACAGGAAGTGTTGAGCTCAGACGGTTTCAGATGTAAGCAAAAAGAACAGATGCCTTGAGATGAGAAGTAAGCTCAGATGCTAAAACGCAAAAACCTTGGGAAAACTTTAGAGACTCTTGGCTGGACCCTCCAAAATCAGAAAAAAAAATTGTTGAGAACCCCCCCCAAAAAAAAAGAACAAATAAAACAATTGTGGGGAAGTCTTGTCTCTGAGAATTGTTTTTTTTTGGGGGGGTATTTTTTGTTTTTTGGGTTTCCCAAGGTTTTTTTTGTTTTTTTTGTTTTTTCTGATTTTGGGGGGTCCAGACAAGAGTCTCTGAGAATTGTGTTTTTTTTGTTTTGGTTTTCCTACTTTTTTTATTTTTTTTCTTATGTGTTTTTGATCCTTTATGCATATTTATGAGTGTTTTTTAGTCGTGACTGTGGCACCAATGCATTTATCTAGCATTTACCAAAATTTTATGGAAAACTATGGAAAACTCAAACCCAGGCCCCATGGCCACCCCTTCTGTATATATATATATATACACATCACACTGCATCGCTATATAATACTTTGTATACACTCTACCTCAATCGCAAAACCCTCACACAACCCTCACTCTGAGCTGCCCAAGGCTGAGGGGAAAGGGTGACATCTGAAGGGATCTGGATCAGCAACAAAAACACAACCGCACCTGTTGACAGCTCCGCTCCAGCAAAGGCAAACACGCCTCCGGTGGCAAACACGGCACCACTCCAAACCGTTTCGATGCGCATCGCGCAGCGCAGGTTGCGGCGCATCTGACAGACCGAAGGCTCTGTCAGAGCGAAGCGATGGGGTTAGCCGTCACACCGTGAAGCTCAACACGACAGGTTCGGTGTCTGTTAATTGTGTGGACTTCATGTGAGGTCAAGGACCTGTGTGTGAGGTCAATTCGAGCATGTCTGAGGTGGCTGAATGAAAGGTTTGCCTAAAACATCCTGAAGTAACCAAGTGCTTCCCGAGCGGTTCAACTGAGTCGCTTTTCCTGCCCTTCGCCCCATTGGCTCTCCGTCCCGGCCCTACGAGCGATCCATCGGACCCATTGGCGTCTATAGGGCCCTGTCAAGGCGAAGGTCCAAAGAAATCCGACTTTCACCCCACTGGACCAAGGAGCGTCGGAGATCTCTACTTAGTGTAGGGGCTTCAAGATTGGTGACCCCTGCCATGGTCTCTTTTCGACCAGCATGGAGACCCATGCGAGAGTACCTTGGATGCCTTCAATCGTTTGTGATACCCCGCTTTTGATCCCACTAGGCACGTGAAAACTGCTCAGGTCCAGTGTGTTGTTCCACGGCAGCACTTTCACACCAAGCTGCAATCAAGTGCTCATCGTTAAGGTGGATCATGACCTGGCAACGTCTGCGCCAAAAGCAGGTGGATCCTGACTGAGGCGTAAAGAACATCTGGTGAACATGTGTCTGGCACTGTGTCTCGCTTATCTGGTCTGTGGCAAACCAAGGGACATGTGATGTGGTGGATGATCCAAAGTAGCCCGCTGGCTAAACAGATCAAGCCACAAAATTGTTCATGGTTCCGCCTGGACCAGCAGCAGCTCTTTCCTTCTGGACCAGCAGCAGTCCAACTGCACTCTCCAAATAATTGCGGTGTTGGTCCAACAAATACCGCACATTACACTCTGACTATCTCTGACTCACTAACATCAGAAATGGAATGAAATGAATGGCATGGCATGGTCCCTTGCAAGTACCTTTCTTTCCAAACAGTGGGGGGTGAGTTCTCCACCTTCCGTCCACACCGACCTCCCAGTCGAAATGCCATGAAAAACGCCACAGCCATCCGTCCTTCTCCACCTTCCGTCCATCACTCCAGATCCTTCGCCGCGTCGCGCCGCGTCGCGCCGCGTCGCGCCGCGTCGCGCCGCGTCGCCTCGAGGTCGTAGTCGTGCAAGTCCACGGTCCAGCCCATGGCTTCGGCCAGCGCCTCGCGAGTCGTCGGAGCTTCGGTCGGAGCTTCGGACACGGACCAGACACTTCGGACACCACAGCGGCACCGGACACTTCCAGAACCCCGGCCCACAGAAACATGGAGAAACCGTCACATGATGGAGCTTGGAGCTCCATGTCTGCTCGTTGTCTGAAACCCGTGTTGAATCGACTATGCGTGGAGCATCCTGTCTGGGTGTCCTGGCTGGATATCTCCAAGCAGTGGGCTGGGCAGTCCAGACAGGACACCCAGCCAAGACGGCCTGGTATAAGCTGAATGTCCCTTTTGTTACTAGTATAGCCAGACAGCTAGAAGCTACTAGCAACAAGGGCATCGCTACTCTCCTAGCATTACTACTATAAGGAACCAAGAAGCACCTCTCGTTTCTCACCGAACCGGATGTTCGATGTCCTGCGCCCGGCTTGAGAACTCAAACGCGAAAAGGGCATTCCCAGCAGCGTTACAACCCCCCCCAAACGATCCCACGGACCATAGACCGTACGATTCTCATCTTAAAAAAGAAGGACCGAACCAGTGGGTTTCGACGTCCATCAATCAGAAAGGATTTGTTGGTGTACACTTTTTCACTGGGCATCCCTCGCTTTGACGGTCTCAACACTCTGACGCCCGGTGATGGGCCCCGGTCACGCCGGGGCGAACGCTCGCGCCGCCGGGCACCTCACCCACGAACTCGGCGATGCCGTTGGAACCTCGAAGCATGAAGCAAGAGAGCGTTTGCTCTACAATGCCATACTTCACCGGATTCGAAGCATCATTTTGGATTCAAGTATTAGCCTGAAATCCCGAAGAACCAGTTATACTCAGGATGTTACACAAACCATAGAAAAATGGCTCAACCCTTTTGAACATATACGTATACTTTGAAGGGAAAAGTGGGTCACCTGCCCCGGTAAAAAACATCTCTCCAAAAGCCGCTCAGCTCAGCCGCCATCAAATAATCGCCTGCTCTGGAAGCGGGTTCACCGTTGCGATGCGTGGTGTTTGGCGAAACTTCGTAGCTCTTTATTTGGAAAGAATTGCCCCTAGTAGCGTCCTTGTTCCTTGTAGTAAGGCCAGGAGCTACTAGTAGCGTCCTTGCTCCTAGTAGCGATGCCAGGAGCCCTTAGTAGCTTCTTGTTCCTATGATTGAACGACCTATCTAAATTTGTAAAAGTTCATATGCATAGTGCATTTTATCGATCTTGCAATGTGCTTTTTTCTGGGCTGCCGCTGTGCCGCATCAAGGCTGAACAAGCCAGCTAGTGCAGTGGCTGATTTCTTGCGTAGCTCGTGCAGTGAACTTTCCAGCCATTGTTTGTTCTTTGCATGACCTCCCTTGTGAATGTAAGGCCAGTGCTTGTGTTCAAAGCTTTGGAATTTGCTGCATCCTTCATTATTTTGCATCCTTCAAAGCAATGTGTCTGAGTCCTAAGGAGCCTAAACATCTTTGATTGAAAGGACTGTCAAGAGTTTTATATGAAATCAAGTCGGCTTGACGTGGTTTGCCGTTTGCCTGATGAAATCTGACAGCAAACTTGATTGTGAGATGTTAAGACTCGAGGTTGACTTTGATATCAGTTCACATCTTCGATGCGAGGACTCGTGAACTGTTCGTATCTTTATGTTGCGGAATAGTTCTTCATGCCAGACTAAGCAATTGAGATCTGAGATGTATGTTGACAGGTTTCCAGTATTAAAGCATGTAACAATGGCATTTAATAACTGATGCGGCTAAGGTAGATAGCTTTGCCCAGAAAGCACAGAAAAGAAGTGGTCAGCTTGTCAGCAATTCACCCTCAGACCACTGTCGACTGTGTTTATTCCACTATGACACTATATAAATATATATATAATACACCCTGGAAGACTAACGTGGACCGTGAAAACCACTGGTTAGTAGAGGAAAACACTCTTCCAGGGGGCCATTGGGCCCGGGTCTATGTGAGTTGACTCGGGAGTGTATGTCCAAACACCAGACGTGCTTGGAAACGACTCTGAGCACAGCTTGCTGCGTCTTCCACGACTCGGTCGCCCAGCGACTCGGTCGAAGCCACCCTCCGACCGACCCGGGGGAGTGGACTGACCGGAGGAAGATCAGATCCAAGTGACCGAATGAAATGGACCAGTGGACCCTACAAATCAAAAACACCGAATGAGGTTGGGTTTCAGGTTCCGGATTGTACATGTAGCATTGATAGGATATCATTGTATCATCATGTCATCATCTGGCCGCGCCGCCGTGACGGCTTTTATGGCTCGCAACTGGAGCAACTCCGAGTCCAACGTTAAGAGCCCAGATCAGATCAGATCGTTCATGATCTTTCCCATGTCCCAAACACTTCAAATAGGAATAGAATCATATGTGCCCAGAAGCCCAGAAGTTAGCAAACAGCCCTTGGTCTGGTCGACCCTCCAAAGCATTCGGGACCAATCCCTCCAGAAGATTCGGGTCCGGCGCATCTATATAGATGGTACCAATTTAAGTCAAGATCGCACTGATTTGCTTCTTAGGGCATCGCTTACTATAGTAACAAATGCATTACTACTAGTAGCAAGAAGCTACGTGCGCACGTAGCTTCTGCACATGATGTTGGGTTTGGCGATGTTGGGCGATCCGTCAGGGCTCGGCGGATCCAGTGTGTCGTTCGACCCCCAACGGCGACCTCGCACACCGACGTGAGCGACGTTGGCCGAGCAGCTCAAATGCGCGGCCAGCTTCCCCGCGCGCTTCGCGGTGACGCGGAAGCTTTGCACGCCCTGCGAAGCGTGGCAGGGCCGGGGATTGGAAGCGGTGTGAAGGGACCGAAGACCGGAAGCGTTTCAAGTCCTTACTTTAGGGCCTAGGGATCCAGGCAAACCAGCTGATAAATCGGCAGGGTTCCACAGACTAAAACCACAGACCGAACGAAGTCCTCGTTCCTTACATAGTGATCATAGTGTAGCTGGAATCCTCTGGGCACTACACCGGAGCGAAGACCTTGACTTGTTCAGCTGCATGCTATCCCGCCCGCGATCCTGCTCCCCCCCAAGGCTAGGGGCCGTCTCGAGCTCAGTTGCTCATCAACCTCGTCAAAACTGGTGACTCCACCCCTCCGCAGACTTGGAGGAAACAAATGGACAGTAAGTCGCTGGTAAGTCGCTGTAAGTCCGGATGGCAAAGAATCGAAGCTTCCCGCATACAAGCTGCCGTCCCTTTCTTAGGCAAGCTGGCGGCCTCTTTCCACCCATCAGCACATGGAAAAGGATTCACTCATGTTGCGGAAAATCACCATCACATCACCATCACATCACCTCATATATCATGAACACCAGGTCTTCCATGGTCTTCCATGGTCGTTCCACTCGTGTCCGCCCTCTCCTCATGTCTCCCCGTCCGTCCCGCCTCTCGTCCAAAGCGCTGCCACGCACGCAGCGCGTCGGTCCAGGCACCGCGCGAGGCCACCTGCCGCGCCAGCTGCTCCTCAGCCGCCTGAGACAGCAGCGGAGAGATGGGGCACCAGGACGCGGAAGATCTTCCCGAAGACCGCCAACAGCTTTCAGATGCTTTCAGATTGGGTGGCGGATGTCTGTGATGGTGATGGTGTGGAGGCATCGTGGGGGGGGGGGGGAGGTGGAGGCATTTGGGTCCAAGAGTTCCGTTGTGATCAAAGTAGACCTTAGATGTCAAGCGTGCGCGCAAAACATAAGAGGCAACAGCAACTTCCAACACTTCGAAGCAGGTGATACCAGCTTCAAAATCGATTTCGCTGAGGCTTTATCATTGCAATGATGAAGCACAGTGGGCACAGGCAGATTCAGGTCAGGTTGACGATTCAACTGCTCGCCTTTGAAGAGGTGGTTCGCTAGATGGAATATAGTATATTCGTTCCATCGAACAATCTTGTATATACTCTGGAGGCTCCATGTTTGACCAAAGAGGTTCCATCGAAGAACACTATTTCCTTAGCACTTTTGAGGAATATCCAGTCTTCCATCTGGAATATGTGGAGATCACGTGTTTGATTTTTTTCCAGAGCAAACAATCCTTGGATCCTCCATAGCGGGGGTCTGGACCCGAACCAAGCGCTTTCCGTTGGTTCGGGCCTGCAAAAACAATGAACTGTCGTTCGTTGGCAAATCAAGTTCAAGGGTTGCTAAGGATTGGTGGGCGACAAAGCTTGGCTGTCCATAGGTCCTTTGCTAAGGGCTTGAATAGGGCTTGACTTTTAGTGGGTCTAGTAAGAAATCCCTTCCAAACTTTGCCTAAGGAACCGGAAAACACACATCCCCAGAATGGGATGCACCCAGTTCGAGAAAACAACACATCATCCTACAGAAAACAACACATCATCCACCACAACGGGGTCCGTTTAAGACTCTAAGATGACTCAGACTCCCCCAAACTCGAACAACTCGTCCCCCCCAAACCTCGCTGCTGCTTCCGAACCCCCGTACGGGGGCCGCTCCGCTGCCTCCCGCTCGTCCGGCCACGGCGGCAGCTCCAAGGCGTTCTGCCGCAGCACCACGGCGTAGAGCTTCTCCGGTGAGCGGAGCCTAGCGGAGCCGGGTGGAGCGTGACCGGTGGAGGGTGACTGGTGTCGTGGCGTTCCAACGAGACGAACCACAACGGGAGAGAACGAGACAAGAGGAAGCAAGAGGTGTACGGTGTACTGGAGATCTGCATCCTCACTGTTGATGGTCACCTGAAAATAGCGAGGGACCAAGAAACTTCTATGTTGGAGACCTGTTGGAGGATGCTGGTAGATACTTGATTTAATGTATAGTGGTCTGGGGTCTGGGGTTGGAGGTTTTCCCAAAGGATCTGGACCCTTTAAACACCAAACACGATCTGTCTGAGACTGGCATATGAAAGCCTACATTGGGGTGTGGCTTCTGGGGTCAATGGGGGTGGCAAATATACCAGTCCCATGAAGTGTGTGGGAACACATCGAGTAGAGACAACAAATGGGGTGGCAAGGCTCGTCCCCAAACCCAGTGAGTGGATGAAAGGGAATGTCATGGCATTTTGGTGGTGCTGCTACAGATGTGGCAGACTAACTATGGAAATCTGACAATGGCACCGTGGTGGTTCTCCATGTTCCTCGATGTCCTCTATCAACTCACTACTTTTGAGACTCCATCGCTGCATCGCTGATCTTCGCACTCAGCGCTGTTTCTTTCACTTCTTCTCCAACTCAACGCTCTCAACGGGTGAGTGAAACATCCGATGTGTCGCCCTATGGAGCGTTGAGTTCATGTCCCTCCGGCCACCTGGTTTGGTCCTTCACACCACGGAGGGTGTTTCATGGCTCCACCCGCCGAGGACGGCGCTGCGATCCCGGTCCACCAGTCCTCGCTCCTGAAGAAGCGCTCGATGGGATGGATGCTTGCCGAGAAGAAGAATCGAGCCTTGCCGCGTCAGAGGTGAGCTTGGTCTGACTGATGCCGGAAGCGTAGACAGCTTCACGTTCTAGCTCAAACGTTGCAGTCTAGCCGCTTGAAAGTGCTTACTTTATACTTAAACATCTAAAGATCAATTTTCAACCCGTATACATCCCTATCAAGTAACTTCACGGTGACCCTTGGTGAGGGTGTTGACTCCTCCAGCCACGCTCGACACCACGTTCAACCGATCCCAACCCATCCGAGGGCGGACGGCGCTTCGAGGCGCTGAAGGCGCCTGTCCGAAGCGCTCGACGTGTTCCACGTCCAGCGTCGCTTGGAGCTCCTCCTGCACGAAGCGATGCATGGCCTCGGCACGGGCTTTTTGGTATGGTGAACATCAAGTATAGATGGTTTAATAAATCACCCTGTGAGCAGTGGAGATCGAAGACATTCGAATGTGTGCGAAAGCATTCAAAAACCATCGAAAATGGACAGTGGCGCTGAAAAGGTGGGGGTCCAGGTCAATGGAGTACAGAGAAAACTATACAGTACAGGAAACCACGGTTTTCACCCCAAAACTATGGGGTTACTGTATGTAGTCACCCAGGATCCACCCGAATCAGAAGGTATGTGGATCTCCTTCACCAGGACCTTCCCCGTGGCCGAACTTTGGAGTGTCCGAACATTTTGTGCCCGCCCCTTTTACAGGCCTCTTACTGACCGATCTGTTCTTGGATTTCAATTTGATGGTTCAATGGTTCATCTCACCATCTTCATTTCAACTCCATCTGACCCTTTTGTCGCAGAACACCCTCCAGGCGCCCAGCAGGACCTCCTGGGCCAATGGTCAAGAGAAAGTCCTGAACGTTGTCAGTGCGACCAAACACTCAGCTAGTGCCCAAATGTGCCCTGGCCACAACTTGCTTTGTCTTGTACGTCTTGAGAGAAACCCACATGTTGCCCTGGGTAGAAGGGACATAAAAAAGATACATTCAGGACGGAATTCACCACCTGTCAAACTCCGAACCATCATGGGTTTGGGGTATGTTTTCAAGTTTTGATCCGTTTCCCTTCTTCCAGGGCTTCTCTTTCTGGGAAGTCTCCTGCCGCCCATCGTCCAGGTCATGCTCCATCGGCCGAAACCACGGGGTTGGAGAGACGCGAAACCACTTTTTGCAATGAGCAAAGTGATCCCTGTGAATAGTTCATGCAAAATGCTCTCTTATTCTGGGATACACCGGTGTAGGGCGCTTTGCTTGGACCAGCCTATCTGTCTGCGTCTGCGTCCTTTGAGGCAGATTGCACTTGATGCACTTTGCTTTGGGCAGTCAGGCAGTCCTTGATACCCCGGCGTACCCCGGTGGCAAGATTGAACCCTTAGCACTTCCGGGCAGCTCTCATGGAATCTCCCGTCATATATTAATGAAGAATCCGTTCTGATCCGCAGTCGCTTGTTGAGCTTCGTTGGTAGCAACACACACCTCCAGCTTGCTGGGGTGAATGGGGTGAGATGATGAGTTGAGTTGAGCAAGACAGTCTGGCATGTGAGAGTCCCGTCCCAACCTCGAGATGAAAGTGCTTTTTGGATCTTTTTGGTAACGTTGGGACTCCCAGGTCATGCACGATTCTCTTACTTCAACCGCCGCGAAGTAGGGCGTTGACCGTTCTTCTTTTGGTTAGAAGATGATCTGACGTGTTTTTTCGTTGGTGGGCAAAGGGATAGGGAGCGCTTGATCACCACTTCTTGATGTTTCTGTGTTGTTTGCACATTTGCAGTGCGTTATGCAAGGAGCTGTGATCCTTTCCCCATTCGTTTTTGGGGTCTGCGATGCTACAGCACCTCATGTGGTCTTTGTTCTGTCATCCATGCTGCATGTGAAACATGGGTGAGCAAATTTCCGGAGACCCGTTTGAAGCGTTCCGACCGGAAGGTTCGGAACACTCGTCGACGCCAGGGTATGCCAGGGGTCTCCCGGAGTCTGACACACCCCAGCCCGAAGCTGAAGCACTCTGGGAGCCGCGAAAGCATGCGGGCGGCTTAAGGAGAGCAAAGGAGTCCCTAAGCTCTTCACGAGCCTGAACCAGTCACGGAGGTCCGGACGAATCCATGAGTGCTTTCGTTTCGGCGAAAGGAGTTCGAAGCACCAGCAAAAAGGAACCCGAATGTCGAATCTGGATGCATGAACCCCCACTTGGATTGTAAAACCTAAGATTCATTGAACAACTGAATGTGCTTGAACATGAAGGATTCACAAAATGCACCGAGGTTCCAACACTCCACATCTTTGTATATCACTGTGGCATCACCGATGTGGAACCTCGATCAGTGTGAACATTCCTGACCAAACACAGAAACCGTGGTGGACATCCTCTTCTCTAGCCTTGGATGGCGTGAACGTTCTCCGCGAGAACTCCTCATGGATGCTGTTGAAAACATGTTAGAACAAATTCCATCGATGGAAACCCTGCGAACCACACGGATTTGGCTCATCGATCCGGACGATTTCATGGCTACGAAGTCCCACAACGTCCAGCCCCTTTCCTCTCCGATGCTGGACAGTTGGGCCCAAACTGTCCGAAATCCGAGAACCATCGCCAGTCAACGCGTCATTACAAGTCTTGGAGAACTCCCCGGTCAAGTCATGATGGTTAGGGGATTTCGACCGTTCGGGAAAAAGCACGTCACTGATGTCTAAGCGGCGGACCTTTCAGATGTCGCTGAAATGTCATGCAGCAACTGAGGATCGCAAGACGTCTTCACCCCAGACGTGACTACCTATGGACCGCGCAGATGAGATGGACCCCGTGGTTTCGACCATGTTCCGAAGACGTCTTCCGGTCCATTTGTCCTCTGCACAGGGGAGAGGATCCCCCCCGCCTTTTCTCTTCCCTTTTCTTCCTTCTCTCCAATTAAAATGAAAACCAAACAACAGGGAACGAACACCTCTGGCTGTGGGTGACCAGGCAGACCGACCGGGCACGACCTGGTGGACCGGGCACGTTCACTCGGCACGACCCGGCTTGCCAGGCACCTTTCGCGCTTGCGAAAGGTGGCCACAGGGTGCCACCGACTTCTCCAAGCATCTCCAACAGTTCCAGCATGGGAGTGAATCCGAATCCGTAGATGTCCCAACCATCGGCACCTAAACGCAACAACAAGAACGATGACTCACCGATGTCTCCAACCATGCCCGTGGTGGGTAACCATGCCTTTTCTTGCTGCACGCATGGCCGGTCCCTCTTGCGTCCCTCACTTTCCTCAGCCGCCTCAGCCCTCTTTGATGTGGAAGCTGGTGAACTGAGCCCTGGGCTGGTGCCACAAATCCCGGATGAATACTACGAGTTAACACATCGCCACATCCCAGACACGACCTGTTTGGGAATGATATCTATATATATATATATATACGATTATAATATGCCTACAAAACTATCCACCCCTTTTCAACCACCCCAATAGTATGCAAATATGGCAGTCCCAGACAGGTCGTGTCTGGGACACGTGAAGCTTGTTTCGACAGCTGTCACAGCTGAGAGGCGGAATCAGCGGAATCAGCGGAAGGGTACCTCCCATCCATCAGAGGCTTCGCAGCCCAAAAACCGTGGGCATCTTTCAGGAACCTGACCAGCTGACTGGTGCTTAGGTAGTGAGGGAATGACCACCCAACAGAGATTCCTTATTAGGGTCCATTCCCTCATTCCCTACTAAGCACCAGTCAGCCAGTGTGAGCCAGAGGATTAGCTCCTGATTCACATGAACGCCCAGTTTCTCTGGGGCATGTGGAGGTGGCAAGAGAGACGTGCGGCAGGAGGATGCATCCATGTACTTTCTCCTTCTGTCACTGTGCTTAAAACGAAAGTACCTCAAGACCTCTGACATGTCAATGTCTAGACTCCCGTACCAGAATGTTTTACTTTTTTTGATACCATGTTTGCTACCGCTCCAGGCCCAGGGGAAGTTCGCCATCATCCCATCGACGAAGACCCAGACGATTCACAGCCAGAGTCCAGACGAGTCTTTGTTTTTCTACGTCGGTCTCACTGATCAGGGTGTCTTCGTCTAAGATCTCCAAACACATCCGGAGACCCAAAAACACATACGTGATGTGGTGAGGGCAAGACGTGACGAGCTTCCCAAAACCGGTTGTTCAGGTTCCATGTGGTTCTCTTCCGCTCCCCTCCGCTCCGGGCTGCCCGGCTGCGCTCTCCGCTCCCCCACCGGGGAGTCGCCCGAGGCAGGCGAGTCCCGGGCGGGACGGGCGTCCGCGGAGCCGGGCGAGGAAGCAGGTGAGGAGGCCGCCCCGTCCTGCAGTGGCAGGTCAGGTGCGGGGTAGATGGACGAATGTGATGATCCTCTTTACTGCAATTGGAGCAAGCTTTTGCACTCTTGCATTGTATCGAGTTCACATTGGCTCTCAAGTCCCTTAAGACAGGTACTCCAGGAGTCACATGGAGGCCAGGGTGGTGTGGCTCGTCCCATCCGGATGTGCCGTTCGCGATACCCCGACATGGAATTTCTGGTGGTTCCGGAATGTTTGGGCTTGGGGTTGCCAACTGGCTTCAGGTCTTGGAAGGTTCTTTTTTATTTTTTTTGGCGGGTGGACCTTCATCACGTGACTGATGATGGAAACGATGTGTTGAAGATGGATGGGGTCAAAAACTGGGAAACGAGACTGAGAGAATTTCAGAGGAATTTATCGATGATGACATGTTCATTTTGTGGAAACCCAGTCCGAACCAGAAACAAATGGATGTTTCCCCAGTCACAACCAATTTCTATGTGAAGGAGTCCAAATTGAGTTTCTGGTTGTCATCTTGTTCCCTGGCAAAACGACCACATGAATCTGGCTGTCAGACTGGTGTCTAGCAGTCTAGCATTCTGGCTGCTGAGTGTGGGGTGGCCAAAGGGGGTCCATTTTCTGATCAAACAATTTGAGACATTGGGTATCATTGGGTCATTCAATGATGGACAACTCAATAGCAGTAGGTGTGGAGCAGCAGCACTTGGCGTCGTTCGTACGACGGCCCGCAAATCCAAAAGTTGTGTTGGTCCCTGACACAAGTACAAAGCATGCAGGTCTGACTGACTTTTTGCAATTGAACCCATACATTGCAGCTGATTGCTACGGATATCACGTATGTGCCCGAACAGTTCTGTGTTGCCATGGAAAGAGAAACGGACCAAACCAGTGTGTACGAGTGACCAGTGGAGAAGCGCGAGCCGCGAGCCCGAGTCTGACCATGTTGGGCAGTGAAGAGTGACCAGTGTATAAGTGTTTTACGAACACGTCTCTTATAACTCCAAAAACTAGGAACACCATGGAACAGCATGGAACACCAGCACTTCCACCTAAGCTTCTTCTGTAGACTTACCCACTTAAGCCCTTTTCTCCACACCACCCTGTCTGACACACCCCAGACGTGGCTTTGTTCGCCAATGACTGCCCTCCACACCACCCCAATGGGCTACTCCCTTCGTTTCGTCCGACTCAGTGGACGGCTCGGGCTCGACATGGGGAGGCGGCTCGGTCCGATATGGAGGCGTTTGCTGACCTAGAAGTCGCAGGTGGTGACCTGTTGGAGGGTTAGATGAAAACAACATGAAACAACCTCTGCATCTTTGGAGTTTGATGACTAAAAATGAAGTCTACATCATTATCATTCTACATCTAGCCCCAATCCTCTCCTATCATGATGACCTTCCTTCTCCCACTCCCACTTGAAAAGCCTCAGGGATCGGCGCCATTGCGCTGAACGGGGCGCCTTCCACGCCTCCGGCGGAGTGGCCGGAGGCTCCAGGTGGTTTGGCAGCGAATGTTGGTGAACAAAAAAGCACCAGATGGAGGATCCAGGTAGAGTTTTCGACTAGTTGTTGTTTGTGTTTGTGAGTTAAAGATATATAGTAATTATAGGGGAGGGTCAATGGGGGTCAATGGGGCGGGTCGCGGTTTTCGTGTCCTTTTCCGAAAATGACCAAAGGCCTTGATCTGGGCGGCCAGCAATTATCCCAAGCGGTGGGACACATGCGCCACAGCCACACAATGCCACTCCCATCCCAGTGCACCTGTAGGGGCCTGATGCACACCTCGGGCAGCCCGGGGAGATATATGTCATCCAACCTTCTGAGGATCTTTGCATAAATCTTATACTACACTAAGGATGGTGTATCAGTCACTTCTGGGTTGGGGAAAGAACCCTGGACGTCCAACCCCGCCGAACCTAGTGTGGACATCCATCAAGATTGAGGGACTCCGGCGGGGCTGGGGAAACCTTTAGTGGTCCCTGTGCGTCCTGGTCTTCGCTGGGAGAAGAACTCCCCGGCGACCCGAGTGGTCTCGCAACGTTCTGAGGATCTTTGCATCAAACTTAGACGATCTGTTCCGCTGGTGTTCTGTCCTGACGACTTCAACAGCGAAACAGAAAGAAACGACATGGTGACGACACGTGAAAACCAATGTCAACTGATTTGGCCGCGGATGTGCTGGACCGAAAAATGGATGCATGCATTCATCTCTCTAACCTCTTGTCTCATTCGGTACTTACAGGAGCCCCAGGTGGCTGTTTCTACAATATCTTTCCGAAAGCTGTGCATCGACGGCATGCGCGCCAGACATCTCCAAAGAATCATGGATACATGGAACATGACCTGTTTGTAGAGGAAAACCGTGTTCCTTTCGCGGCCATGCCGCCCACTTCAATGCAGGGTATGTTCCAAACCAAGCAAACTATGATCGACTGCAAGATGACGATGTCTGGAATGAAGATCCTGCACTAGCCAGTTCACTGATTCACCACTCTTCCACATGCATATATTCGCCGGTGTATATAGTTTTATACATAAATGATCATAAATGGAAGTCCAACGACCATGTTTTGACCGACTGAAGTAAAGGAACTTCCCTTTCAGGTCCCCTAAAGGACTATTCCTTTTATATATATAGTACTTGACTCGCTGTGTCACTGTGTATGTACAAATACTGTAACGTAAAGTGTATTTGTTTATGATGATATGTTGTTATATTGATAATTGTATGTACTGATATACTGATACCCCTTGTGTTATGCAAATATGTCTGTGCTTTTCTGCGCTTCTTTGGTATCTGCGGCGTCAGACCATCCAGGTCATGGAAAAAGGCCAGGTCATGGTAAAAGGCCATGCGCTCTCTTCGAACGCCAAGTCATTCCCCCTGCAAAGTCAGGAATGGGACCTGTGTCTTCACGCCCTGCAACTGCAGTCTGACCCAGATCCAGTCTCCTGGTCTCAAAAAACCATCCAAACGAGTAGTGTTATGTAGGTGTTGACTTGCATGACCGACTCCAGTCTTTCATCTTCGGTCAAGTTCCTGACCAAAGATGGGGCACGATGGGACGTGCGGTACATCAGTTCTCACGATGGGACGTGCTCCCCCCGGCCGCAAGCTGCTCGAGCTGCTCACGGCCACCGGCTCCAGCTCTGCCCAGTGGCGTTCAGGCGGGAGTGGAGAAAGGCCAGCCTGTGGAGAGCGTTTCAACTGAGAGACTTCACGCTCCGACTCACCAACAAACAGAATTCTTTTTGGACATGGTCGATGCTCGGAAGACCAACCAAAACATGTCACATGATCCATGCCACTATTCTGAAAGAACACATTCTAAAACAGAGACTGCGTCACTAGAAATGATACCGTACCCTCTAATTTCTGAACGGAGATCACCTATAACCTATAGTCCTTGCTTTGTCCACGCGCGGGAGCCGATTCAATCATCGAATCCACGCTCTGAGGATGCTCGTCCCTGCCGCACTTGATCGTTGTATCCGAAGATCCCAACGGAGTGGTTCCTTAACATCTGGTGCCATCTCCTACTCTTCCCAACCCAAAACGTCGATGGAGACTTCCAAAAAATTCCAAACCCCTACATCTCCCACGTCACCCTGCAGAAATCACATGAACCTCCACGCACTAGGAGGCACCTCCTGCCCGTGCCTCCTGCCACGCGCTTTCGCTCGACTGGACTGGACTTGGATTCTTCTTCCCCCCCGGTGGCCGATGGGCCTGGGACGCCACGCAGCGGTTACAGGCATCGAAGTTGCACAGCTCACCTCGCACGACCGGTCGTCACGTGACCGGTCCGTTCGGAACCGACACGGGGAAGCTCCGGAAGATCGCTGTTGAGGTGTGTTTAGACCGAGTCCAGTGAATTCAAGACGGCTTCGAATCAAATCAGAGGTGTTGCTCTGTATCCAGTCAATCCAGTCACTGAAATTCAGCCACTTTCAATAGCCAACCTGGGCCCCGGTATCACCAGGGACCGCTTCAGAAAGTGCATGCGCGTCAACCGCCCAAAACCAAGTAATTAAGGCTCTGGGTGTCTCTCTGGGATGGAGAGTGACCTTCGCATCCGTCTTCGCCCCGCATCGCCCCGCATCGCCGGCCAAGGTACATCTCATCATCATGCTACCTGACCGTAAGGGCCGAACGGGGGACCACCACGAAGCATTCCAGAGGCTGGGCAAGGCCATTTCTTCAGAACAAACTGGTGGATTCCATGTTCACCCTGGAGAAGACTTACCAGAAGGATGCTCATAGTGTCGAATTGTGTATGAGCAAACTCCATGCACCTTCCAGAGTTGATGGAAGAGTTCGAGCGAACCCCCCCGAGCGTGACAGACTCGGGTTTTTCACATGCTCCTTGCAGAAGCTTCTTGACCGCACATCAGTCCAAATCCATGCCTGCAAATCCAGTCCAAAGACCCAAAGCTGGTGCTGAAAACGCATTTTTCGATGACCAACTGACCCAGGGAGTGCTGCCTGGATTCCCAGCTCCATCTACCAGAATCTACCGAGGTGGAACGTCCAGTCAGGGAGACCATGCCGATTGACCAAGTCAGTCTCTGATTGACCAGTCAAAATTTGGAGGACCACACCTAAATCTTCCAACTGTGCAGAATTTCGGCCTTGTCATCAACAAAAGCAGCCGAAAGGCAAACATGTTGCACAGTTGGAAGATCTATATAGGTCCGTAAGTAGGTCAAAAAGCAGGGTTTCCTACCTGCGAGAGCAAGCTACATGGTCGACCAGGGCTCCAAGTTTTGACTCCATATACCCGTATCTGTCTACCAGTCTATAGGCCAAATTCAGTCCTTTGTGAAGTGTGCCGGCAGAAGAGTCTGATCAAGTGTCCAGTGTCATGTATTCGATTTGGGATCAGAACCTGTTCTTTTCTTCCGTCGGGAATGTGGAGATCGTTGCCCCTCCAGGCCTCTGGCATGAAGAATGCTGCACACCTGGCAGGTGATGCCATCCTGAGCGTTAACCAGCTGACCACCAGGTCCGTCTCCAGGTCGTACCAGGTCCGTCTCCAGATGTCTAGACACGACAAGCGTACGAGTACGCGACCTCCACTGGGGGGAATGCAAACCTACGTACGTCCAGTCTAACCCAGCCAAAACCTGGTCGAACGAACGTGCTTTGGTATGACACTGGATGTCCAGAAACGATCTCTGCACTGCTTGCTAGCTTGAAATTACTTGAAATCACACCCTACACACGTCCAGTCTGACCTCACGGTCCAGTCGCCTGGTCTTTCATGACCATCCATGGATGGAAAAGTTGCATGCTTTCACCCCTTTTATGACCCCAATATGGGTAACTATTCCAGCCCCATTCGTCTGGTCTGAGTTCACTTACGTCTTCCTCACCATCAACTGGGCCCGATCCAATCTCCCCAGATCTCCGGGAACCCTGGCAGTGCCCGTGGTCACAGACTGCACTGGATGTCCAGCCGGACACGACTGCGGGCGGCATGACGGACCAGACGAGTGGACACTGCCGGACCGGCTGAAGGTGCTGAAGGTTCACCATTGATCACTCGAATGTGGGGAGTGTATAGTATAGTGTCTATGGCAGTTGTATGCAAGACTCCTGACTTGTTTGACACTTCATGGAACCAGCATATCCCGGATGTACACCGCATAATACTACTTTCATCGGTTCTCGTAGCCATCTTGGTGCCCCCATGATGGTACAACGTCACATTCAACATGGCGTCGTTGCCCTCGATTTCAAGTGCTCGGCTCGAAGCCTCGAGCGGAGCCTTTGCTGTCTCTGATGTACCTGTCTTGCATCGATTTCCGAGGTGGGACACCCGAAAGCCTGGCCGTCTGGGCTCGAATGCTCGAGTTCAAATGCCGCCGCGGGTGCCGGGACCTTGGTTGACTACGCAACAATGATCCCAAGCAGTTTCACACACCTTGCCTTCCGGGGCGGCGAAGAAGGTGGCACAGGCATGGCCTCAGGGGCCATGCTAAAACCAGAAGGCCTGACATGATGCCTAACTTAATACAATCATATACAATCAACGGATCTATAGAAAAAGAACAGATTCGAGAAGCAGCTCTCTACAGAGGTGTCCTAGCATCTCCCTACCCGTCCTATCTGCAAGCCCGTCCTTCAGTTTTCACACTCACAACCAAGATGGGCACCTGTGAAGCCGCAGAAGGCCCCTCAACCTGCAGCCAGTCTACGAACTCCGAGTGGTTGGGTTGTGCTCGGGAGCCTGAGAATGAGCATGAATGAACACCCTTACAGTGAATGAACATGAATGGTCACGAAGTGACTGACATTGAAAGACATTGAAACTAAAAACGAGTAGCGTTTGGTCACAGAAAAAAAAGAAACGCTACTCGTCTGGAGGTCAAAACGAAGCTCCTGGGACCTGGAGCTGCGCCTGCATGGGCCGGGTCTCCACCAACGGTGAGGTCGGAAACGCCAAAGAGCTTGCCGGTGATGCAGGAGGCGCCTCGACTCTGGCTTCGATGTGTTCCGCAACGGCGATGGAAGGCACTGGCGATGGAGTCGTTTGCCCCCAATTCGTGGCTGAGTGGAGTCGAACTGCTGGGGCTCCGACTTATATAAGCACCCTATCGAAGGCGGTATCTTATTTAGAATTAGGGAATTTATATCATCAGTAGAACGAAAGGGTCGGATAGGACCAGGTGAACAAAACCAGCAAAGCACATTGCACCACATGTCATTCTTGCGATCGAGACTCTACAACACGTTGTTTCTCGTGTATGTCGACGGGTGTTCCAGTCTAGTCTAGCTGTATATCTGTGCGAGACATAGGACAAACACGAACAGCTCGACCTCCTTGTTTTTCCCGGTGAATCAGTTCCGAATGGAGCCTGCAGGTCGGACTGGTCCAATGAGAGGATGATGTGGACACTTTTATATAGGCTTGGAGGAAATCTCAAGGGCTTCCTTCGCACCTTGGCCTAAGGAAGACTGGCGCCCGAGGGAAGGAATCACGAGGGGCCTTCATGTCCCAGCCATCACATGGCCGGAATCCAATTCATGGCCGGGATGAACAACTTCCAAGGGTCCGTATCTCCTTTCCTGCTTCCCTCACACTTTGGACGGAATGTTTGCTGCCCCCTTTGCCCAAAGCAGAACTCCAGCACCAAATGATGTCGGACCAACAATCTCGAATCTCTCGAAACATCACACTGACACTAACGGCATAGTGTTCCCCAAAAGTGGGGAATCAAGGGTGGCCTCCCCTCCGATTGGAAGGAAGGTTGGCACCTCACCCCATGCCTCGCCTGGTCTGGAGCTTTGGAGAGCAAGGCCTGAAACGTTGAAAAGGTGGGGTGGGTCAGTTGGAGCCATCCCTGCCGCAACCTGGGATCTTCCAACATGTCCAGTCTAGTAGTCTCTTCTTCACTTAACCCAGCATCCTGCTCTCTCAAGCTCAAGTCGACCAAACGATAAAGAACCTTTCTCTCAACGTGGCGGACTGTGCGCGGTTGAGGTGATGAAGGAGAAGGCCAGGCTTGGTGGGCTTGGTCGACTATGGCTCCTTTTCCACGACCATGAAAACCAAATGGACAGTCTCTGACCATCTCCACATTTCACATTTCCAGCTGGATGTGTCGTTCTTCTCCATCTACATGTCATCGGGGAGTCATCGGCTGTCAGGAAACACGTCACAAGATGTCACAAGTATGTCTGGCCAATGCACACGGTCATGTCCGGCAGATAGAAGGTTACCAGGTTGAAGCAGGGTGAAACCACATCAGTGACGGAAGGATGTCTTGACTTGCAGGGGTGATGGGCTCGATTTCACACCTCAAATCAACTTGCTGCCCGTACATGACCAGCAAACATCAGCAAACACATGTCCTGCCTGAAAAAGAGAGTCGCCTGAACCTCTTGATCTCTTTATCTTTATCTCATCAAGATAACACCAACTGATCGGTGGGAGGCATACCAGTTGTGAAGTTATCTCAAAAAGAATTGCAGGAAACATCAGAATCAACCAATCTGCCAAAACTGTGGATGCTCCCTGACAGTCATAAAATGCCATGTCACTACAATTACACGATCTGTTGATTCATCAAACCTCCGGTCCGGTCTGGACCAGGCCGCGAGCAGGTTCTATCCTGGACCATCCATGATGAAGTAGTTACATACATTGGGGTCATGTTCATGGGGTAAATGATGGTCAAATGCTGGTAAAATGTATATCTATGACTACAGTAACTCTTCCAGTCCCCTGGACTCTGTCTGGGTATCAACCGTCCACCTTTTTGAACGCCGAAACGGCTCCAACTGCTGCCACCGATCTGCCTCCAACTGCTGCCACCGAGCACCTAAGAGACTCACCTGCAAAACAACTGGAGGTCGGTTGGAGGTGTTGAAAACCAGTTGGAGGTGTTTTCGATCAGGTTTTGAGGTCTTTCACCAATCACTCTTGACTGATGCCAGGTGTTGTGCCCGGGAACAAACATCCAGCTTGCGGGGAAAACCAGGGAAGCCTGGTGCCATGATCCATGATCCTCTGGTATCCTGAGGGAATGAGGTGAACGAGCGAGCAGAAGAGCCACGAACCAAGAAGAAACCCGGATCAACCCGGATCAATGGTTTCTTGGCTGTGTGGTTTCTGAGACGGAAACCCAGGAGACGGAGAGAAATTTGGAGCTCAGATGGGAAACCCAAAAACATCGAAAAGCAGGTGGTAGGTGGCTTGTTTCTGAGACGATATGGACAATCAATAAGTATATATGCAAAGAGAGAGAGAGAGAGAGATAGAGAAAAAAAAGAAAAGAGATTGTAAGATCGAGGTGAAGCTCATTGTGGAACTGCTTTTTGCAGGCGAAACACATCTGGCCACTTCAAAGGGTTTCTGTCAAACAAACCACGTGTTGCAAAATCATCCAAGAAAAGATCGATCGTCTCTGTCTCTACCTGCTTCTCGTTGCCCCTCTTTTTTTTCTCACCACGTCTGTCAGTCTCTCTCCGTCAGTCGACACCTGTAACACCAGCTCCCTGGAGTCACAGTTTGATACAGTTCGTCAAATGGCACAGTCGGTGTCCATGGACCGTTTTCATGGACCTTTTTTGTTGGGTCATCGTTCCATATGTTCTTTTACTATGGGGGTCAGTCGGTGTCCAGGTCACTCCACACATAAGCGCCAAAAGCGGAACACCCGCCGTCTCCCGCCGTCTCGCTTCGCCGTATCGCTAAAAGCGTCCCGCTAAAAGCGTCCCGCGGCGCCTGGTGTCGGAGGTCTCGAAGGTCCTTCAACAGCAGAAGGCTTGGATCAGTCGACTCCTGGCGCGATCGACTCGGTCGACGACTCTCTTGGTCGAACTGAGTCGACTGGTCGAGTTGTGATTGAGTCGAGTTGTGATTGAGTCGAGGAGGCCCCGAGGTGTTAGGGTTCCTGTCCATCACATGTTATTTCAATTGGTGACCTGTTGGAGGGTGCTGGAGGGTGTTGCAGGCTTTTTCTGCATGCAGAGCGGCTGGTATGTAATTAGAGGTCTCGAGTTGTGTGCTACAATCATGGGGCTGTCTTCTATTTGTTCACTGATCTGGCAATCATGAGAGAGTGATTGTGAACATGCATGGATATAATTACGTATCAAACACCTACAGTATGCCAAGATCACCACTGGTCTCTGATTCAGAATCCTCCGCCCAATTTCCGTCTTCGCTGGTCAGACCGGTGGCGGGCTCACAGAGCATCTACCAGTCGACCCATTCGTACCTCCCTTTGTATGCGTACGTAGACGTCATGACCGTCCCTGTACCAGGTCCCCCGCTGTAAGGGGTGATAGCCCCTTTTGGGGGTGTCGGACGGGGTGGTCCATTCACCACCCCAACCAGACCGTGGGTCCTAGTATAGATCGTGATAGATGTTGATAACATGCGTTTCTACCGGATTCCAAAGCCGGTCCGACCCCCGAGGAGCCCGGTGATGACGGAACCCGGTCATGAAGTGCCACTGGTGGTTCTTTGAGTGGGGTGTTCACCAATCCAAAGAATGGTCCATCACCAATCCACAAAGAAAACACGGTTTGGCATAGGGTTTAGTATTTGAGGGTTTATAGAACTTGTATAATGCTTGTCCAAGTTGGACTTCACATCACTTCACTATATGACTTCAACGTCGTTTCACCCGGTTTCACCTCCAACCGTCGTCCTCGCGACGCCCGGCGTGGACGCCCGGCGTGGTCATGACCGCCGTGACCGCCACGCCCGAACGCCTTCCAGCCTTTGATTTTGGGGCCTTCCGAAGCAAACCACCTTTTGAGGCATCGACGACAGGGATGAGGAGTCGACCGAGGAGTCGGATGAGATGGGTTTGAGGATGGCAGGTGTTCGTTGCTTGGGTTGCTTGAGGATGGGGAGGGGAGGAGGAATGGGGAATCCTCCATACATCTGCGGGGAGAAGTATATTGATAGGGGGACAGTTGGGGAAAGGAAATACATGTGCCGGTGGCTGGGCACACTTTCGTGTTGCCTGAGTTGCTTGAGTCAAAATTCTGAAGACCAGAAAGCTGGAGGAGGGCAAGTCTGGACTGAAGCCTCATCTCAATCTTAAGATGAAACATCCAGCAGTCACATAGCTCGGGGTGCTATCCATGGAGGTAGTCGGGGTGCCCCTGTCACATCCACTCACTGGATGGGACGAGCCACACCACCCTGGCCTCCATGTGACTGCTGGATTATGGAACTGCACTCACGCTGTATCTCCAAGTGACTGTCCGATGTTAAGGACACTCAGCTGCTTGACACGAGTAGCTCCAGCTGCTTGGCAAAGCGGCTAGCGGCACTTGTAAAGGGGTTGCGTTTTTGGGGACAGCCGACCTGAGAAGCGAGTCAATCATCCGGATCCCTTTTCCATCACCTGGTCCATGCAGTCTCTGAACCCATCTCTTTCCCAGTCCTACAAAACTCTGCGGTCCCGCGTTTTGATCTTCGATCCGTAACTGTTCAGAACTGGGGCTCTCCAACGCTCCAACTGTGACACCATTTAAAGCGACCCCGTTTTCTTCCAGTGCCCCGGCAGATCCCGGTGGGGAAAAGAGATCACGGGATGAACAAAATGTGATTTGTTCATCTCAGAGAGTTGTACAGTCCTGGACCTTAAAAAACAGTGGTACATGTGGTTATTGTAAACGCTGAGAATGAGTTCCTTAATATGTTTGGGGCTACTTGCAGTCAGCTCTGGTTGGACAATTACTCCACAACATTCAACTCATTCCCTCCACGGACTCCCAAAAAATCACCGAAGGGACGGCATCCTCGTCCCAATTGCGCAGCGGAACGCGCACGTCGCTGATGTTCCCAAAATCGATGGCTCACCGACGGATCGACGGCTCACCGAAGAATCTGAGCAACCAAAAACACGTCCTGTATTAGGGTGAAGGTGCCAGGATCGACGACGGCGTCACGAAAAGTGAGATGATACGTTTGCCGGAAACAAATCAGGGTGCTATCCATGGAGGTTGGAGGTTAGGGCGGTTAGGAGTGCCCCTGTCACATCCACTCACTGGATGAAACTAAAAACCGCCCCCAACATGTGACTCTTGGTACTGTCTTCGTTGTGTTTCTCCCCTTTGCATCTCAGTTTTATCGGCTTTGGGATTGGGCGAATGGCTGGCGAACCGCAGCTGCACTTCATCGATCTTCATGGATCGACGAAGATCGTCCCAGCGGCTGGTTGATGACCAAAGCATGGTCCTCAGAGTCCTTCAAGTGCTCCTGAGCTGAGACATCTGGACACAGCAGTGGACAGCGGTGGTCCCAAACACATGGCTATACCCTGCGGATCCCTGCGGCAAAGAAAACAACAAAAACTCAGAAAAGGTCAACTTGTGAGACTTGTGAGATTAATGGCTTTGGAATGCTTTGGACCATTTTGAGGAGGCCAGTATGCTTCGTAAATCTTTGTATCCCAGACACTCCATGGGACTGCCATATATGCCGCCCCATTGACCCCTCTGGCACCACCCCAACTGATCGGCATATATGGCAGTCCCATGGAGTGTCTGGGTATGTTTCTGGAACGAACACCTCCCACGCTGGACTTCCTTGGACTTCGGGGGCAGGTGCCGCCCAACACCATGCCTCGAACATGCTGAGCTGGAACGGCACACCATGCCCCAACGTGCTTGCTCTTAGTGTCATATTTAGATACACCTATTCCATCCTGTTCCCATAGGGTGCAGGTAGCAGCCAAAGGATGCTGTTGGAGGTGAAAGTACTTAGAGTACGTATCTTACAGATTGAGTTGAGGAGCCAGTTCATTTGCCCTACTTCGCTCCGCATGCGTTCGGAGTGGAATGGCGCCCGCCTTGGCCGCCATCACACCCACTCCATCAACAACCAGCCACACCAAGAAACAGAAAGCCAGAGATGGCTTCAAACGGCACTTTCCACCGACTGTTCATTTGGAGTGGAGGGGTCCCCCCCTTCATCCCCTTGTCCACGCTGCTGGCCGCTCGGATGGTCCCGGCCACAAAAAGGCCACCCGTTGCTTCGTCTGAGCCTCCGGACCGTCAAAGCTGAAAGGCTTGGCGAGAGCTTTCGGGCCTGGTGCGAACAACAGACTCGCTCACCCAACAGCGAGCACGACGAACGCAGCCACGAAACGCAGTGCGAACACGCACGGAACCCGTTTTCTGAACGTGCTGAACGTGCGGCAGCGTCGTTTTCTGATTCAGCGAATGGAAAACAAGAAAGGTGTGATTTTATGCTTGGCAAAAAAAAAAAACCGTGTTGTGCGAACCGAAGAGTGCCACACAGAGTTGTTTTGTTTTGTTTTGGACCTCCGTAAGAATCCGGGCCCGAAGCAATCGGAAGGGAACTCTGAGGGGTACGGACCTCTGCGTAACCCCATGGAGAGTGTAAGGATTCTTGGGGAAGGGTTTTGTGACTTGTTAGTGACTTGTTGGTGACCCTGGACCCGACTTCAAGATACTTCAAGTACCTGACCAAATGCGACACGACCGGAACAACAAACAGGTATACTATACTTGGTGGTGCTTGTACTGGTCGACTTCAAGACTAGAGGGATCCACTGCCATCCTCTGCCGGTGATGTGTAGGTTCCACGAACGATGGAGGCGACGAATTGGGTTCAGGACGGAATGGTTTTTGCGTGGCAGACCACTGAGAAAAGTTGCGCCAAATGGGCCACGAGACGTGCAGAACCATCCACCCGAAAGCCGCGCCATGCCATGCCACTTCAAAGAACCACCCACCTTGCCGCATGCTGTATACAAAGAATCGCATGAAGGATTGAGCACAGAAATCTGAGCACCGTTAGATGATGTTCCAAGCCCAGCAGGAGAAAAAAGGACGTGCGGTGTCCCTGCATCGTAGCAGCTGACGCGCATGTGCAGAACTCAGAACGACGCAGCACCTCTGAGTGGCGTTTTTTGTAATGTAGACTCTTGATTAATAAACCCCCCATATATGAAGAGGTGTTTCAATTCAATCGGAAGGGTTTACTATGGCGTATTAATTAGGGTGGATGGGAGCTACATTAATTAGGGTGGATGAGTATATCATCAAACGAATCAGAGCTCAGGCTCACCAGTGACGCAGCCTTGGGCCTTCGTCAACATTTCGTCCACCAACCTCGGCGAACCACCACCGCCTAGACGTCTTAAACCTCGCTGCTCGCCGCCTTCGTCAACCTGTTACCGGTGGCGGGTGTCCGCCGCCGCCCCGGACGGCGAGCCAGCGGATCGAGGCCTCCTCCTTCAACCGAAGTAATCCCTCAGAGCGAGCCGCCTCAAGGCCGAAAAGGCGAGCGGACACGGATCAGGGCCCGGTCCGGGCGGAAATCACGACATGTCAGTGAAAAGATGACTGTAGGTTTTGGACTGTGTGAACCTCATGATCATCATGAACAGGTATATAGTTATAGTCATAAAAGGTTGCTCTTTTCTGCCTTGCCGAACACTTCAGTGGATGGGGCGTTTGGCTTCCTGGATGGCTCCTTCCATTTTACGGCCGAACCCGTGGCAAGCGCCGTTTTCGTGGGGGAAGGGGGTACACGGACCCCGCTCTAGCGCTGGAAAGCCGCAGCATGTCCGACCTGGTCAACACCTCTCTCCTAAAACGCATTTGCTCCGTTCGTAGCGATGCCCTTTGTTCCGTTCGTAGCGTCCTCTTGCTGCTACTTAGTAGTCATGCCAGGAGCGCCCCGTTCGTAATGCCATTTGCTCCTAGAATCGATTTAAGGGAAACATCTACAGGAAACCCAACCCATACACTTTTTGGGGTGACCTGTAGATGTTCCATGATGTTTCCCCTCATTCTGGGGTGACCTGAAGGATCGTTTGAACTCCAGATGCTTCAACCGATCCGTGGGTCAACCGAACGAACTCCACCTGTTCTTGCTGGAGGACGGGCGTCCGCCAAGCCCCAGAAAAAGGAGGTTTCGGGCTATCAACTCTTTTTTGGCAGGTAGGTGAAGGGTATCGATCTCAACCATTTCCCAAGATGCATCCTGAAGGTTGCACCTGAACGATCCTGGGCGTATATATAGTTTTTTTCACGGGGCGTGGAGCTTCAGCTGATTTCAATTGTCTGATGCAGGCGAAGAAGTCGTTTGCGTGATTCGGTGGAGAAAGAAAAACAACATCCTTATTGAACATTGATGTAACAAATTCAGTTGTTGACCTTTGACATGCAAAGGATAAAACAACTGAATACTGCTCAAGCAACACTTGACCACTTGATCCTCACACTACCCACATCACCATGCTGGGCTTTCAACGCGCTCGCGTTCATTCACCACCGCCCGCTGCAGAGAGGCCAAGTGGTTTTGCAAAGCCTTGCAGGTTGGGGTGTCTTCCTCGATCAGAACGTCCGGAATTCTCAAATCAGTCAAATCTACAAACTATAAACACCTCTTGCCCATGCAAGGAGATGAAAAAAAAAATAGAATAAACAGGAACATGCACAAAATATCACCCGATCCGAGCAAAAGCGGGCAAAGTGAATGTTCTTTATCAGTGACCCCACATCCCTTGGTTGATGGTCTCCCAAACAAAGACACACCCCCGGTTCTGGGGAACTTTCTTCAACTTTTAATTGCTGGTTTCAGAATCCGTGACCCCTGCCCCCGGACCTTGAATTCTGGAGTTTGTGGTCACTCTCTCTCCATTTCGGAGGTGACTCAGATGAGCCAGGGATCCATGCGGTGGTATTTCGTCTGTGACAGCGGCACCCTCTTCACGCTCCAATAAGCACTCCGACATGGACTGGTAGTCTGATATAACTGATATAGACCGGTCTATGGTAGGTGCAACCCTGGTTTTCGAGGGTGTTGGTGTGAGTGTTTACCAGCAAGGAGAGTGGAGAAAGACTTGTTTAACATCAAAAATCCTGTCACCTGGTGCGTCTACGACAGTCCAAAAACCTGTCAGGTCCTTAGCTCAACGCCTCCATCTGCCGCGCTTTGTTCGCCAGGTCGGCCCTCAGGTGTTTCAGCTCGACTAGATTGGGGATGGGCAGGTCTCCCGGGCTCCCAGTGTGGACGGCGAGTTCTTGGTTAGGCCGAAGATGGAGGGTCCATCTAGTTCACAATCCGGAATGGCTTTGGCTCACCCCATCCGGGACTCAGTGGGTGTGTGACAGAGGCCAGCCCGACAGCAGTCAGACCAGTCCGGTCGGGAAGGCACCTAACTCCATAGAACTGCTGCTATAGGAAGGCTTACATGTAACAATTCAATGTACACCGTATACTGTATATGTATATACTCTCGATGATATTTCAACCCCCTAACCCTGAAGAGGTTGGCCACATGGCTTTTCAGGTTTCGTTCTGTTCATCCACAGTCCACATCGAAACATCATTCATCTCTTGCGCCTCCTGGGCCCCCTGGCTGCTGCTCCCAACTCGCTGGCTCCAAAGCATCCAACGAAGGCATGACAATGGGCGCGGGCATGGGAAGGCCCTGTCGAAGTCAGCGGCGGGCGAAGTCGGGCGAAGCCGGGCCCGACTTCGGTATATCGGTATGGTGCCACGGTCGTTGGACTACTTTAAACTCGAAACAGTTCAAAAGACAAACACATGAACGATAATGATGATCCATGATTGTCTAATAAACAAAAATCATGCACCAGCCTGCGGTGGTTGAAGCCACATCGAAGGGGGCGCGGCCTCAGTGTCGGGCCGGCGGTTTTGAGGTCTCCAAGGTCTCCGTCTGGTCCTGCAGGTGATTCACTGATCTGACTGGGTACCTGGATTATCCCTTCTGGGTGTCCTGGTTGGAGGTCCAGTATGGTCCAGTCTAGCAGTGCTGGGGTCTACAGTCTAGCCAGGACACCCAGACAGATTGACACGGGTACTCAAAGGTTTTGAAACACAGCTGGACACTGACTCTGGGTCCTTGACGGCCTTGCTATGGATTTCCAGGTTGAATTGAACCCTCGGATATATAGAGAGAGATGGAGGATGCTTCACCATGCAACCGATGAGGGAGGCTTATTCATCAACTCAGTAGGCCATACACTCCATGTACGGAACATGTGCCGCCCCATTGACCCGTTTTCAACCACCCCAACTGAGATGCAATTATGGCAGTCCCAAACAGGTCGTGTCTCGGTCCAGAAAAAGCGTCTTCCCTTCGATTTCCAACGAAGCAGTCACTTCCCAAAAGTCCCATCTTCATCCCGTGGTGAAAACTCCAACACCCGGCCCCAGCGGGACGAGTGTACGAAAAAAGACGCCGCTGGATGAAGAAACACAGCTTCTATGCCGGAACCCATGTGGCCGGTGTAAAGTCTGACCGGTCGGTCCAGTCTGGTCTTGAAAACTTCCAAAGGAGCCGTGGGGACATTCATGACTCTGTATGACCAACTCCAGGGCGGTCAAGACCTCTACAGACATTGGGGTGGAAGTAAACCCCACTGAGCTCTCGGGCATAGGGCGAAAAGCCTGGCGACCAAGAACAAGACCCGATCATTGGCCCTCCCAGCCCCAGCCGCGCGGGGTAACTCGGGCACCAGTGGGACAGCAAGACTGGGAGCAATCTTCCGTGTTCTCATCCTCTGCTTGAAGCAAGCCTCAAGGGAAAAACCTGAATGACCGGTGAAAGTGAACACGCGGCCTGAATCTATCACTATCAGCATCGATGGCTTTCTTGATGGAACATTGCTCTTCTTTGGTCATCGGTGCAACCCCTTTTGAAATGAAGCAATGAGAATTTGAAGGAGATGAAGAGGCACCGGGCGCAAGGCTATGGGCCTCCCGCAGAGGTGCCTTCACTTGGTTTCTGTATTGGAGGAACATCAAAACATCTGTGTGGGGTGAATTCTGGTGTTCATGCTTGAGTCTTGGAATTGAAAGTAGTGGTGTGAGGGGTTGTTGAGAAGAAATGTAAAACAAAACTGGAACTGGGACAAATCCGTTTCAGAGAAGACAAAAAGACTAAGACCAATGTTTGCTGATTTCAACTTCTCCGGCAGTGTCAGTTGTCCCCAAAAGTTCAATGAATTGCCTACAAAAGGAGTTTCCTGTACTGATGGGGTGAAAAGGACCTTTGACAACGCCTCTCTTTGGTCAAGGGAACGCAGTCAGTCAGTCGCTCGAGGTTCAGAACAGTCAGCCGCCCAATCCGCCAAAAACGATGCCTTCAGCATGTGCATTCAACCTAGAAGTCCAGTTCGGTTTTGACCCACTGAAGTAAATATATTCATATATATAGTCCATTTCAGGTACGTGAAGACCATTCTACTATATTCTTTGACTCCCAGGTGCATAATCCGAAATTGTGTGTGACGATTCCACCAGCCTCACTCAGATCGGTAAAAACCCTCGCGCCTGGCGCTACCGCTCTGTCGACTGGGGCTGGGCTGCCTGCGCAGAAGGGAAGAAGGTCAGGGTGACAAAGGACACCTCAACGGTCCATGTGCTTGGCTTTTTGGAGGATGACAAGCAAACAAATCGCCCAACCAACACTTACACAATGTTACACATGTTTTTTGGTTGCCAAAGCAATCAATGGCGCAAGACACTCAGCTTTTTGCCGCGCCGCATAGGCAACAAACATGCTCACAAACGCCCCACTCACGTCCGGCCCTGCCTATGGAGGGTGCTGGCATCATCGACAGGTCAGCTGACCAAGTCCATGTCTGATTGATATTGCGTTGAGAAGCTGACTGATATGGCTTGAAGAAGGACCTGTCGATGATATTTCACATTCCTGACTGATGATGGCTTTGACAAGAGTATCACAGGAACAAGGCTGGTTGCATGCATGTGCTTGACGAATACTAAGTGATAAAACGACCTCAACAATTTGATTGAGCGTGTTTGATTGACTCTGTTGCAAGGTTGCATTGCACACGATTCCCCCCTTGTACATTGAGGCACATGACAACCCAACCAACAGGCAAGACATGGAGGATTTACATTCCAATCACGTGCAATGGGAGATGTAAAAAGGCTGGCAGCTGGCGGCGCTCCTTGTGAAGACATGGCGTTGACAATCGATAGCAATGTGTGAACACTACTGACTTTCTCGCTGTCTGTGGCCGTAGCCGCCAGAGTTCATTTGTGAACACATGGCAATTCATGTTCATGCCAGCAGCTACTAGTAGCGTCCTTGCTCCTAGTAATGCCAGGAGCTACGTGCGTAGCTTCTTGCTACTAGTAGTCTTTTCATGTCGTGAAGGGCAAAGCTTTGTGCCTTGAGTTGCCGAGCATCGGTCCGAGGGTGCAGAAGTACTGCTAGACAACATTCCATACAGGCACTGTGTGATATCTGTGCGATGGCAAAAGCTCTCCAGGCGACTACATGGGTCAAATATCATCAAGCATCAAGCGTCTACATGGGCGTGTATTGAAACAGGAGACCTCCCAGTTCGACTCCCTGGAAAAAATACATGGGGGGACGTTTTTGGAGTTCAAAACCCATGTATCCGGGTTGCCCCCCCAAATTCAACGGAAGAAACACCCCCAGTCATGGTCGTTCCCTAAGTTCAGATATTGTATAGGCCGGTATAGGTTAAACAGTCGTTCACGCTCCTTTTCAGAGTCGTTCACGGGCAACGACTGGGTCGTTTGGGTTGTTAGACCTGATCGTTCTCCCAACGACTTCGCTGCTCACCACGGCAGTCGTTCGCCCCCTTTTTCGTTCGCCCCACGACCACGGTGCCAGCGAATGGGCAGCTGCGTCATGCCTGGGTCGGGGCGAGTGGATGTGGGGAGTTTGGTAAATTACCACCAGGCCATGACTATGGAGTTTGGTAAACTAGAAGCAAGCCCGTGTGGTCACCTGTTAAAGCCCCGATCAACAGCGATGCAAAGCGAGATATGTCATAGCAGCAGAATGGTCTCAAAGCGGCATGTCTTTGGAATTAGCTTCTTGTTGTCTGAAAACTATTGAAAACTCAGGTCTGTTCAAGGATAAGGTGATAAACAAATGATGTGGCCGGGCCATATGGTCTAGGACTCCCCCAAAGCAATGAGTGCAGTCACCCAAGACACCAGTCTCAAACTCAACGTGCTTCCATCCAATTCTGCCCCCGAATCCGTGCGAACAGAACCCTGACTGAACGTCCCTCGCTTCACCTTGAATGGGGATGCCCCGCCCGAGGTTCACTTACACTCTCTGAAACAATTATGGAAGGGGGCCCTTGAATGACCTTCTTTCTCTACAAAACAGGTAGAGAAGAACTCCACTTCCATGATTCTTTCAGGGAGTGTACCCCTATTTCTGCGCACAACGTGCAGCACCAGCGGAGGCACCACCAGCTTCGGCTGGGCACCATACGCAACTTTGTGCATCCCATGGGCTGCAGTTCCAACCTCGGTCATGGCCCCTCGGCCAAAGGCAGCCCATGTGCGGCTGAAGGAGGGTGAGTGGAAGAACGGTGGAGGGGGAGGGTGAACAAACACCAAAACAACATCTCCAAATCTCCCCTCTTCCGTGGGAATGTTTTTGTCAAGGCCATGCCATGAGCATGGGTCCCGGGTGACAAGGAATCACCGTAGCATTCTCAATTTCTTGTTTGTGCCTGTCATGTTTGTGTCTTGTTGAGTTCTCTTCAAGAGTGCTAAACCGAGGGTGCCCTCCTGTTACTTACCACTTGCAATCAACATCAGTTGACCTTCCAGTGATTCTTATGTAGCGAGATGTATTTGATTAATATATGCTTATGCTTGACCCACACATTATGTTCTTAGCAAGAGTATGTATGCATCAGTCAGTGTCTTTTCAATTTTAAACCTGAGAAAGCAACAAAACAACAGGAGCAAGGACGCTACTGGTAGCTCCTGGCCTTACTAGTAGCAAGAAGCTACGTTCGTAACAAAGGGCATCGCTACGAACGGAGCAAGGACGCTAGCTTTAAAAAACGTGGGGCCTCGGCCGGTCGGCCGAGGTCCCTCGTCCCGTCGGTCGCACCAAGAAGCCGCGTGATGGGGCCAAAGTCTGGTACCTGCCGAGTCGCAGCTGGAGCTGAGGTGACTTAGATCACGACCAAAGAAGAACTGAAAACCCATGCATCAGAGATCATTGAGTATAATACGTAAATTGATAATCATTGACGATCATCTGACTATCAAAAAAAACTTTGGACTGAGTCTATCATTGACTATCTTCTGATGGTTTGGTGACCAGACCACCCATGAAAGGACACAAGAAACCTGCATGCAGAGAATGAAAGGCCTGAGTGGCAAACATGTGATCATCTGTCGCTTGCATTTTGCGGGAATGGCACTGACCTAACCCATGATTTTCTAGTAATACGACTGCCCTCTCACCTCTCAACCAAAACCACCTTCACTGATGGTTGACCATGGTGGACCATGGTTGACCATTCAGATCCTTTGTGATAAAGAACCCGTTTCTGATCCTTCAGCTTCGTCTCGCCCACCTCTGGTTGTGGCGGCACTTGGACACCAGGACTGGCGATCCGGACGCACTCGTGGTGTTCGTGAACTCGTGGTGAGGAACGGTTCGCCATGTTGAAAAGGGAGTGTTCATGCTTAAAGGGATCATCTTAAAGGGATGACATGTCGTTTTTTCATGCTTAAAGGGATGTAGTTTTGAGATTGTAGAGGGACTTGTCAAGAACAGAGCGCATCGAACACGGCTTTGTCTGGTGTTTTGCATCGAACACGGCAGCCTTGATTCTCGCAGGAAGAAACATGCAGCCTATGGATGTCTAGGGTGTGGGCAGGTCCTGGCAGGTGACGAAGAGTTGTTTGCCCTTTGCAGCTTTCTGTAATGTCATGCACCCCTATTCAGGCAGTCTAAATACAGCCACTGGGGTCATAGAATGTCATAGACCTGCTGTGCATGCGTGTAGCACGCCTGCTACGCACTTTGATCCATGCTCATGGAAAGAAAAGGAGCTAAGAAGAGGTCTCGATTCATCTGTCAAGCCTTTGCAGCTTGGTCTTTGGGACTCAGGTCTCAGACCAGTCTATATACACACGTCGTTGTCTCCCGAAGCGTCCTTTCAAACAGCTTCCACATCCAGGTGAACAGGAAAGAGATCGTCTACCGCAGGACATCTATTGATCGAATGTCGCATGTCTGGGTTCTGACCCATAGCCACCATAGCCAACAGGGCAACTGGCTGCCAAGTCCTTGAAGTGAGAAAAAGATCTGGAGAACTCTGTTGCGGCAACGTCCACTCTTCGCTCTAGCCTGCCATCCCACGGGCTGTCCAACACTCCCAACCAAAAACAAGGACCACAACCATCAGGATCAAAAGAAAGAACACTGTGAAGGAACATGCTCTTTAATTTCCATGTTCGCCACCTTCTGCCTTTTCCGGATGAGTGACCGAGGCATGCCTCCCGAGCCTCCCGAGCTTGTGGCGTCGCCTTGGCGTCTTCGCCCAGGAGCGCCACAGAGCGCCGGGCACAAAGGCGCTGGGGCAACGGTCGAAGTGGGCCTTGGATGTGCCCAGCGAGCCAACCACTCCAATGGGAAGTTCGCGTCTCCAGATATGGGGATGTGGCCAGCCAACGGACCTCCGGACTGGCTTGATATGGAGTGTCTGGGATTTGACGGTGCCATGAAGGGCGGTGGTTATGTCTAAGAGATTGGCTCAGTGGGAGGGTTGGTGTATTGGAATAGGGGTCCATAGGGGTCCATGGCTACAGACCTGGACCCAATCGCTCGAAAGCACTCTAGGGACCCTACTAGCGATGGCCTCCAACCTACTAGATACAAGTGTTCCAGCGTCCGACGCTCCCTCCATCGACCACTGGGAGGAAGGCTTCGATCCCAAGCACCTTCGACCGACCCGCGCCGATCTGTCGAGTCCCGCTCCGACATGGTCGGACTCGATCTCTCTTTTGTCGTCTCCTTTTGGTCGGGGCACCAACCCACCGGGTGTTCTTCACACACTGGGCACATGAATTCAGGAGATCGTCCTTTTTGGGGGGCAGAGCCTTTTTCCTCCGTTTTCTCCCTCTTTCGTGTTCGACTGAGCATCGCTCCACCGCGTGGGTTCATCGACTGCACCGCTGCGACCGCTGCGATCCGCAGCAACCCACGTCGACGTCACCGGCACGCCGAGTCACCACGGACTCGAGCATCTGGGACTCGAGGCCTCGGGAAGCAGGATGGGACCTCGTCGGAGCATGGCGTTTTAAACTAGTGGTTTTGGGGGGACGGGATATGGGTGCAAAAGGTCTGATTTGTTTGAGACTGCTGTTAAAGTATACACAATGAAATACACGTATATCATGTATGTAGTATTATGTAGTTATAGTAAATAACTATATAGTTATATAAGTTATATACACTATACTGTATACGTACCATTACACTGGCCACACAAAAGCGGCGCTTCTTGAAGTTCAAGCTGATTTCAAACCTTTCCCACTCGAATCCTAATTACGTGGAGAGACCATGGGAGACCTCGCTAATTCGATCCACAGCTGATCCAAAGGTGTTTTGAACATGCTGAACAAGTATAGACTATTGTTGTCTGCATGAAGCATGTGCTAGTCCCTGCTCCGGTCAGTTAATCGATGTTAATTGTCATCACCCTTTATTCAGCGCCACTTGTCGCATCTGTGCTTTTATTCTCTGCGCACTGTGCGATCTGCGCCGGGTGTTACAGGCTTGGACTCCTCACAGGACCGAGAACACGGATGGCTTTACAACCGGAGAAACCTCAACTCCAGCACGAGGTCAGAGCACCTCACAGAGCGCCAAATGCCGGGTACAGTATAGGCAAAGGCTGAATCACCCGGACCGAGCAGCTCGTTCAGCCCTTTCGGCAGTGTCTTTGGCGTCTCTCGCAAGTCTTTCCGCATCTCTCGCAAGTCTTGCAGCCGTCGACGCTTCGGAAGAAGCTTCATCCGCGTCTCTCTGGGCTGCTGAAGCAGCTTTGGAAACTCTGTCCAACTTGTAATCAACTTCTTTCAAGGCTTCCTCCATTCGCTCCAACTGTTGATAGGTTTTCTGCAGATCATCCTGAGTTTCTTGCAATTTCTTGCGATTGTGTTCTCCCATCTGGATGGCATAGATACTGCTGGTCTGTGGAGGTAGCTCGGGTGAGAATAGAACGTCAAGAGCCGCACCATCCAAAAGATGCAGAGGTAAATTCCTCGCGGTTGTTCGGTCTGTTTTGGTCTGCTCTAACAAAACAACTCCAGGAATGGATGAATCATTGATAAATGATATGTGACTGAGTGCGTGCGTGTGTGTGTGTGTGGACTAGTCGCGAGTCCTCCAGGTTATAAAAAAAGGAACCACTGGATCAAATCATCCACTCTTCGCTGCTGAAGCAGCACCCCGTCCTCAACACTTGGATGGGAAAGACGGACGCCTTCGCATCAGCGGACAGGTTGCACCACCTGAGGGTCGAAGTCTTGGACGAAACCATGGAGCACTGGCAGGTTCATCACTCAAAGCTGAAACCATGGCATGACGAAATACTATGCCGAGCTGACAAGCCACAACTGGCATGTGTGATTTCTGTGTATACAAAAATCAAATTGATTGATTAGCTTCGTGACATCTATAACCTCGGGAGCCATGGACCCAGCTGACCTGACTACAAGCCCAACGGCTCTATGGCAATCTTCTTTTTGCAAGTTGCCCCAGACAGGACACCAAATATCTGAGAACTTGCTCCTGAGATCGTCGTCATCGCACTGCTCCATTCGCATCAGCAAAGTGCCGGCAACCCAGGGCTCACTTCCCTCCAAATCCATAAGACACTTGAGCCATTCCAACGGCACAGTCTCGGAGATGTTGTCTGGAAGGGCAGCCCCAGCAAGGAAAAGGCGAAGGAGCATCTGGCCCACGTCAGCATCAGCCTCTGTAGCGTGCAGCCCATGGTTCATCAGATGGGCAAATGTTGCGCCCAGTTTTTCGGAGCAACAAATCGCAGCGTCTCGTTGATGAGTGGCCCATCGCAAAAGGCTTTGAACCTCTTGGTGGTTCTTAGAGATCATAGCCACGATCTCTTCCAGCCCTCCCCAAGCAGTCAGAAACTCTTCGAACAGACAAGCGCGGCGCTTCTGAGACATGTTTGCTAGAAATTGCACAGCAACATCCTTCTCCATGATGAACTGCACAAATCCACTGTAGTCACTTTCACTTGCCCAAGTCAAGATACCTGTAAGCTTTTCCAAGTCACAGGAACGCGACAGGCAGGCAGTCAAGAGTTCCCGCGCCTCACTGATGGGCACCACATCTCTCCTGCTGCAACAAGCGTTTAGAAAATGATCGAACTCTTGGATGGTCAACTGACGCTGATGAGCCAGCAAAACATGTAGAGAGAAATCCGCACCTGAAAGCCTGGTGGTGGGCAAGCTGAGTAACCGGTTGCTTTCCCTGGTCGCCACTCCAGCGACTCGGTTTTTAGGCAACAAGGCTTGAGCTAAGCTCAAGTCTGTGGTTGCTCTAGAACAGAAGCCAAAGGACAATGCGGAAAAAGAAAGTGGCAGTAGGAATGCCAAAAGGCTGTCCCTTTCTGACTTCAAAGGGTCGCAAAAGAATGCAAAGACCACAAAGGTCGCAATGTCAGCTCCATCTGCTTTAGCAATCACATCCTGGCATTGAATTGCCTTTCGAGCCATGCCTATATCCTCCAGCTTCAGGGCATAACACAAATAGAGTTTCACATCTGCAATGGTTTGAATCCATGCGGTGGATTCCGGACTGGCACTGTCAGGCGCAGCGCGCAGCCCAGGCGCAGCGCGCAGCCCGCGAAGCCCGCGCAGCTCGCACGCCTGCCGCAGGAAATTGATATCCTCGAGCAGCTCTGCGTCGGCAAATCGAAGAGCCTTGTTGGACTGGCGCATGATCTCCAAAACAACCTCACCTCGGCTTAAAGGATCTGGAAGGAACATGATCCGAAAATAACAGCAAATACTACTAGCAAACACTCTATATATAATATGAATCACTTTCCGTAAAAAGTCGCCTACTACGCAAAAAGCTGGTGACTGGACTTCCAGATCTTTCCTGGAATGTTTGCAGCTGTCTGAACACAGCTCCAGTCTGATGCGATGCGTTCCATCCACTCTGCCACTTCTGGGTCGCGCCGTGCCAATGAAATTGGAGGAGAGCCGTCTGTCTGTGCAAGTTTGACTATCAAAGAGGAATCCTGTAGGAGCATCTGGTCCATAACCCAGCATTGCTCACGAGCTGGAATCTTGATTTTGTTCGCAAGCCGCATCTTTGCATCTGACACAGTCCAGCTTGAACCCACACCAATCTCAACAATCTCGCCTGACATGGTGCAAACTTTCAAAGTGGCAGCAGGATGCTTGCAAACACACGAGCCAGTGGTGGCCTCTTCAGAAACCTGTCGGGTCTTTCCCAGCCATTTGAAGCCTCTTTTCAGCAACTCCATCTGCCCTGCACAACCGTACTCTGCATGATGTGGACATGGAATTCCTGCTTGGTCGTTGGACACTGCCTCTTGAACATATTCACAAGCACTGCATTTCAGAAATCTCGTCCAACCCAACATGAGCACCAGTCTCAAGGCTTCAAAAATGGGAACGAAATCTTGAGCATCGTCCGCTGAAGAGATCAGATCACCCTTGCAGATGCCATTCATATCTCATAAAGAAATGAAGCTGGCATTCGCACGTTACGACCTTCCGCTACCTTCCTCCGCATGGAATCCTGACAGAATCGATGGCACACTTGGACACCTCGACCCATTTCCAGGCCTTCTTCCCAGGACTCGTTCAGGAAGTAGACCCAGGCCTTAGGCAAACGAGAGGTGAATCTTGCTCGGGCATTGCTCGGTGAGTCAGTCAATTTGCTTGGTGGGTGAGTCAGTCAGTCACTAAGTTGGTAAATTGATGTGAATCGTTCCTTGCACTGCTGAAAGTTGGAAGACGACTTCCAAGGAGTCCTACAAACTTCTTTCGGAGGTTCATGTCAATCGAGGGATTCTTGGCCTTACAAGAAAACCGTTGCAGATCCTGCTTAATACTCGAGTATCTGAATGCGCCTTTGTCAAAATAAATGCTCAACATCTTTTGGGAAAGCCCTTAGCTAGAGATCAAATCCGCATGTGAGGAAGCTTTTGAGATGCGTTTCTTTCGGCGCGGCTGGCTTAGGAACTTGCACTTAGAAAGAACAGCGGCTTGGCCTAGGCGCTTTAGCAAGTCAGTTGGATCCGATCCATAGGTGAACTGTCCGTTGGTATTTCCCTATGGAACATCCAGAGTGAAATTCAGAAACCAGCAAAGGGTGCTTTGACATATAATACAACTGTTAAATCATTATAACTCATGAATTCGAGCAACTTGTCCATGAAGTCGGGCCTGCGGTTCCTTACAATGAAGCAGAAGAGCGGTGCCGAGCAGTGCTGTGGGACCTGACACACAGAAACACCGCAACACACCAGACAGGGGGCTTTCGGTGTCGGTCGTGCGCGCCGTTCGAGGTGTCGGTCGTGCCATGGCTCGACTCAACCATTGGAGATGTATTGAAGTCCCAGTAATCTCACAGAAAATCCGTCACTAAGCCCGAGGGCTCCTGGCCTACCTCCGTTTCGGTCGGGTTTCGAAGGGGGTTCCAGGGGGGTCGAACCACCTGAGGATCTGGACAATCTGGAAATCCAGATCCAAAAGGACACTCCCCGTCCGGGGCTCGTTGACGCCCCCCCCCCCGAGGTTGCTTGAGGTGCCACGGCACCCAATCTTCCGTGGGCAGCAACATCTCGTCCCTGCAGGGTTTGGACGGGGTTCGGAGTGTGTGTGTTTTCTGTGCGAGTTCAGTGTGAGAATTCTGTTCACCCCCCCACAGCTCAGGAGGTTTAGAGATTTAAAAAGGAGGTTGATTCCAGTGAACAAGGATGCGAATTGATTGACTTCGGGATGATGAAAGAGTCTTCTCAGAAGGGCCACCTTCCTTCTTCTCAGAAGCTGGACCACGACCCTTGCCCGAAGGACCACCTTCCTTCTTGCTTTTGACTAAGACCCACCCTGTTCGGTGCATGTTTGTTGCAAAAGAAGAAGTCCGAGCATGTTGCTTTGGAGCCGGGTACCGAGGGTCCGTGGTTCCGACATCTCGACATGTCAACGTGGAGAACCATTTCAAGGCGATTGCAATGATCCTGCGACTTACAATACTCATGTGCACATACTCAAACACTCCATCAAACACGCCCCCTGTTAGGTCACCACCTGCGACGTTTAAGTCTGCATTTCAGCCACCAGAGGAGACCTGTAGTCGGGTCCTGGTATGGAATCTATGACCCCTGAAAACACTTGTGAAAAAATGTCAGTAATATGTATGACATGAAGTGTCTGAGCACCTCCTGACCGTGTGAGCACCTCGTGACCAGAAAGAAGAGCATACGGATTCCATATATGAATCGAGTGTCCCGTTGAACAGATGTTTTGTGGCTACCATGAACACCAAGGACCAAGTGAAACACTCGACATGGCGTTCCTCCTCCCAGCCCGTGCCTCACAGCTGGAGGCGGATTTGGACCAGGCCCATATGGCCCATCTGCATGTGTTTTGCAGGTTTTTTGGTGGGAGGGACATGGGATTTTGTTGGGAGAAAATGGTGAACCCTTTAATTAAGGTAACCCAAAAAAATCGGTAACCTCAGGTCGCTCTCGGAGAAATCCACATGTCGTGGCTCAAACCCGCGTTGCGGATGGCCTTTGGTCTATCCGATCCAACAGGAGCACAGCGACACATCACATGGGTCAGCGGTCAGCTGACGGGTCACCCGGCATCAAAGGGTTGTGATTACCTGGAGGACGGTGTTCCTTGTCACACATGTTTGTTTAAAGGCTCTTTTTGGGAGGGTGGTGACATCATGCTAGTATATACCCTTAGCCTAGAAGTCCATAGTTTGGCCACATTGAAGTATATAAAGGAATATAGACTCGGGTCATCTGTAGTCAGACATCATTCTTGCTTATTGCCTTTAGTTGCCGACCCTAGAACCGGCCAAAGAATTGGGGAGTTACGCAGGGGAACATAGTAAGAACTGTGCCAAAAAAAAAAGGAGGCAGTGTGTGAATGGAACCCCGGGGGATCCCTTATTTCTTCTCCCAAAGGTCTACGTGGTATTATGCGGGATACATCGGTATAATCGTGGGTCTATCCTACTACCTGTAACAGTGGATGATGATGGTTAGGTTGCAGGCCTTATTCAAAAATGATGATTTAATTGTTTACTGACTGTTACAGGTAATACGACAAACCATCGGTATAAGCGTGTTCTTTTTCTTTGGTGCCCGCCGAGGAGGGACCCCCCTATTTGCAACCATCCATGTTCCCTGATCGGCATCTCTTCCAGTCCCACCGGTCGTGTCTGGGATTGGATCCTCTTTCACTAGGTTTGCCTCGCGATGCTCGTGACTGCTCGTGTCCTCGGTGTTTTTTCGACACGGACGGACTCCCACAAGCGCTCTTCGCAAGAGGAGGGACCACCAACTCCCACAAGCGACCCTTTTTGGACTCGAAGACCTGAGCTGGAATAAAAACAGACCTGGACCTTCCAAGGGGTGCCCAATGGAGATCCATAAGTAGTGCAGGGGCTTTCATGGGTGACCCCGAACGGAACGAACGGAACTGCTTTCGTTTATGTTTCGCATGACCATCTCCTGGAAGAAACTGGAAAAACGAAAGGTGTCCTTCCGAAGAATTCCACACCGATCCCCATCCGTCTCGATTTCTGTGTGTTTTTTTCCGTCTCCCTCCGCACCATCCAGGGGCACTGGAACAGCTTGATGCGCCAGGGGCTTCACGAAGATCAGAGGACCTAGCCTTGAGGCAAGACGTGATGAAAATGGGATCTGGCTTGGTGATGAGTGGTTCTTTTAAAGTCCATCAAAGGTGAAAGTTTGATTGATTCATTGTCACACAGTTGTGGCATGCCTTATCTTTCTCAACTCTGAGTGGAATTCAACGTACTGTATCATGATATCGATGCGCTTCACACGTCCGATCCCTAACCTGTCCCATCGAGAGTGAAGGCCCAAGGTGTCTGGAGAAGAATGATTGACGCTCGCAACTGATGTTGGACTGGGACATACTGGCACATGTTGGGGGGCAATTGTATATAACTTTTTCTGTGTAAGCCATGCATGAAACAGGCTTCAGGCTGAGGACAGAATTGTTGAGAGTCCTTCAAGTGAGGGAGACCCCCTTGTTTTTGTCTATTTTCCTTCTTCCAGGGGCTCCCTATTTTAATACACACCCATGTAGTAGTGAAACCACTCTCCCAACATCTCCAGATGTGAGATGGGAGTCGGAGGCGACCACTCAAACGGGTTCCTGAAAACAAAATGTGAAAGCAAAACTGGCTATAGGCTATAGGTGACAAGCCCACCTATAGCAGTGTAGGAGCACTCTCCAGCTCCTTGTCTATAGATATCTATAGCATAAACCCTGCCCCCCACACCCATACCCTTGCCACGCTTCCATGCGTTCGAGCGATTCCCCGCACCATCCACCATGGACTTCGCCCAGCGGCGAGAAGTGGCCGGCACTGCCCTGCGGATCAAGAACCAGCTGCCAGCGAGCCGCAAAGCGGACCTGGGATGGCACGCGACTGCGTGATGTTCTCATCACGCGAGGCGAGGGAGGCCATCACGCGAGGCGCTGCGCTGGATGTGGCATCCTCCACAACATCGAGAGATGGAGAACATCTGGAGGGTGTTTCATTCCGACCAGCGACCAGCAGGTGGTGGCCCACCAACTACAGTAAGTCCGTCCGTCCTTTCTCCTCTCCCATTGCCAGCCCTTGGCTTCCGCCTCCCAAACGTCCGGCTTCTCCACTAAGAAGGTGAAGACTGAAGGGCCTCGGTCGACCCAACGAGCTGCGATCCACTGACCGCATCAAGTGACCCACGTGACCCGGTCCAGGTGATCTACCTGGAGTCGACACGTTCGTACCTCGGAAAAAAAGAGTACATGTATGCACCTGCCTTTTTGTTCGGGTTCGTTGACTTGAAAAAAAAATATATAAGTACTTTTCAGGTTCCCTCCCGTTTCGGTACTGTATATCACGTTGAAAGTCGGTGATCCCATTGAATAAAAGGTATAATATCACCTTGAAAGTCGGTTCTTGACCGCTTCGTCGCTATCAGATCAACCGAATCGTCCCGTTTCGAGTCCTTCAGATCCCTCGGTCCCCCGACGTGGGGAGACGTCTGTTGGGACCTTCCACGCGCCCTGTGGGCCACGGACCTGGCGTGGTCGGAGGCGAAGTGGTGCGGGGAGACGTTTTTTTCCGGGACGGTGGCCGGGGTCTTTTGCCATCCCTGGTGGGTTTTGGAGTGTGGGGTTTAGGGCCTTTACGGCTTTAGAGCCTTTAGGGCCTTTAGGCTTTAGGCTTTCGGGTTTGGAGCCCTCCCTGGCTTGCCGACCTGTTGTGACATCAGCCCCTTCCAAAAAGATGCCGACGATGTCTTCTCGGTGCTTCCCAGGCCGGGAACACGTCGCCCAAGCTTCCGCGTGGGACGTGGGACGTCCGCGTGGTGTCTCGTATCTCAAGGCCTCTTTCTTACTGCACACCCAACTAGGCACTGGCAATTCCGTGCAACAGTCCCGGTATCACCTGTTCCAGTGATAAAATCTCCTTCCATCTGACGCTTCTCAACACCCACCCTGATAATCCATGAAATGCTGCGTAGATGGGAGACCTTACTGTGGTTCAGAGGTATCGTCTTCTTGTTACGGAGAATGGTGGAGATGTTCTCCACCATTGAAACCACCCAAGACAAACACAACCCCTGGACTGTCTGGACCCGATCCCTCGGGTCGAAGGCCGAAGATGCCGAAAGGTCCATCCAGCTCGACGAACACGAGAAGCCGCTGAGAGCCGAGCCAAAGCAACATCGAAAGCCACATCCATGAACAAACACCAGCATGCAAACACCTCATTCTTAAGCTATTCACCGCTCAAAAAAAAGGTCCATCGACATGACAATGTACATGGAACCCAAAAAAGGGGTGAATTCACGGAATGCAGAGCGGGCCCCCCACTTCGGCGCGAGACAACTCCGCCTCGGAGCGAGACAACTCCGCCCAGCACGGCACCCGGACCAGCAGCTGGAACCTCGGGGGCCCACTCCGAGAGGTTCCAAAAAAGAGCCCAACCCGAACCATCCACGCGCGACGGTGTCGAATACTGTTCCCTGTGATTTTGAGGTTCCGACTGAGTGGTGTATGTCGAACTTGAGATGTTGTTTCCAGTTGAAAGAGGTTGAAAGCAAGACCAAGTAAGGACAGTCCATTCGACATCTCAGACTGCCATGTGACTGCCATGAGTGACGTTCTCTGCACGCCCCGGCGCCCCGGCGGTGTGGAGGCCTTTCGGACCACGTAGCGAAGCGAGGCCTGGAGCGGTGCGGGAACAACACGAAATGCATTTGACATGCTTAGACAATCCTTAAGAACCCAAGACATAGGAAACCCAGAACTTCCCAAGAGTAACAGGATCAGGCGATCGCTATTAGGCTGGAGGCCATCGCTAGTACAGTAGGTTGGAGGTCATCGCTATTAGAAAAAAATAGGAAACCCAGAACTTCCCAAGACATAGGTTACATCTAGGTTCATGTCTTGGAAGATCTGGGGGAACGAATTTCGAACCCCTGCTATCTGTGATGGAGGGTCCAAGGATTCTACTTGCAAGAATGCCATTAAATGCCATTAACAGGTCTGAAGCAACTGAGACGTCTGATTTGATCAGGGTGTGAAAAGGAGGGAGCTTGTGGTGTAAAACGTGTGACTGGTAAAAGATGGTCTGAAGTCATGGTCTGATTGTTCCACCAGGCAATGTCAAACCTGTACGTGTGGTCTGACCGACGATGTGTGATACCCACAGATTCACTGTCAGTCTTGGAACCATCCGGCTTCTCAGCGCAGTGTATGTTTGTCCTACTCTAGGACTCTAAGAGCCAGAGTGGTACTATATGATTGCTTATTTACATGTTTGTTTTTCATACACGTCTTGTTACATCAACTTTATACTCATATTTGTAGAAGGAGATCGGACATCCGAGCCTCGGGGTTGAAGGGGTAGATCGTTTCCAACTCCACCTGCGCGCGCTGCGCGCTTCGCGGTGTCACCGCAACAGGTGAAACAAACAGCAGTCGCTGAGCCAAAGAGTCGTTGGAGAAAAAGCGGTCGAGTTGGAGCAACCACAAAAAGCCATCCTTTTCGGCGTTGATTGTGGTGCTTTCTGGCTGTGTTGAGTCACGTGAGGCTTGACTGGACACTGCAGGAATGACACCTTAGAACCATGAGAAGACAAGAACCACTCACCACTTCGAACTACCAAGCTGCCCGGGTTGAGGAACTCCCAGTACAGCTCCGAACGGCTTCCTGCAAAAAGGGGGAAGAAGAATTGGTGCTCCCGAGCCCTCGCTCCGCAGTCGCTCCCGAACGGGCTCGTATCAGCTGGTACTAAGAATCCGAACGGACTGGCGTTCGGGTTGGACCCGAACCAAACCCCTTCGCGGCACGGCCCGGATTCTTTGGTAGACTGAATACTCTCACCACTTGGACCTCGCACCATGCCACAATCGTGCCCCTCTCCGCCCGCGGTCCCCGCGGTCAGGCCGCCCCCCGGTCACCGCGGTGCCTCCAGCATTGGCAGCTTGACGGTGGACGGTGCCAAAGCCGCTGAGAGCAATAAGGGCCTCGTTGGGACACTTGAGGAAGAAACACATGACGTTGAGGTATCCTCTACCTTCAAGGGTGCCGGGTACCCCGCTTCTTTTGACTGAAATCATTCTTAACGGTATTGGAATGTTTGCCCCTCAAACAAAACATCGTTTGGACCCAGGTGTCCTTCCAAGTTGTACAACTTTGTATCTGGTTTGGGTCGAAACACCCTGACACTGAATGAATATAACATGAGCCGAATATGGACGGCGCGATGTCAACCCTTTCCACTGGTGACCGGAGTGACATCCCGGGGGCAAGTGTCACTAACCACTCTGTCGAAGAGATGGAGCAACCACAGGCGCCTGTGGATCACCATGAAAAAGAACACTTTCCTGGGAGATTGGGGAGTTTCCCCATCAAACCATGTACATGACAGAGCCGTTGTGTGTTCATGCCGTGGTGTTCCTGATCCGAGCTAACAGGACAAGAACTGTACAGAATTGCTACAGCGTGTAACAGATGTATAAACATGTTGTTACACTTTAAAAATAATGTGTAAAAAAACTAAAACTTGTGTAGTGAATGATCCCCAGAGTGTTTCCCGAGGTTGGTCCAACAACCCACCCGGCAGCTCAACCGGTGCATCTGGGCGGCATTTCACGTGGAGTACCTAGGCAGCGGAGGTGCAAGGCAAGGACTCAGGGACTCACTATGGTGACCGCCAGAAGATGACTCCGAAGATGGCATCACCAACTTGGGTCCAGAAAACCACAGCATGTGGACATTTGTGAAATGCTTGGGGAGATGACAATCACCTGGAAGCTAGATATAGAGATTCCGACCCTTTCCGAACATTCACCTGTGGCTAGTCACATCCGAGTTGGCAAGCCATGTCTTTCACTCCAATGGAAGGGGTTTGGGAACCGGGTCCGAACGCCTGGCCGAACGCATTTCGGTCGAGTGTCGGTCCGCACCGAACAGGTTAACCGGCATTGGTGAAGAGCCTGGAGAAGCTGTTCCGAACAGCGTCTGGTTCTTTAAGAATGAGGCGCACGACAGGCTGCACACGACAGGCTGCACAAACGTCGCTGAAACTTAGTTGAGCAGCTATACAGTAGCACAAACTTCATAGACCTGACCGGTTGGACCATGGAAGATTTCTCCGTGCAGTCCACGCGCCCATGAAGACTTCCACATCGGGTGTGCTCTATCCGATTGTGACTGTGCATGATTTGGGTCTGCCGCCATAGACCTCGATATGAAAGAAGTCCAAACCTTGATGGTGCAGCATCCGAACCTTGGTGTATCAAACATTGATTTAAGGTTGGAAGTGTTCCAAACATGTTCAAATGATCATTCAAAACCCACCCCTGAACCTCCTCGAAAAAAACAAAAGGGGTTGATTGAAAGAACCTTGCCACATGTGCTCTCACAATGAAAGTCTGCATCGTTTGGAATCACCTCAGCAATTAAAGGCCTCATATATAAGTATACTCATCTCGACAGCGGGAGCAAATTTGCAAGAAAATGCTCCCTGTGTAGGGCAGTCCAGCCAGCCAGAACACCCAGCCAGGATGCTCCTGGTAGACTTGATCTTGATTGAAAACCCTGTTCCCTTCACCCCTCAGCCAGAAGAAATCCAACGATTCCTAATGTTTTCTTGATCTTGATTCACCCCCCCAGCCAGTTCTGATAGAATTCTTCGGAATCGCGACCGCCTCAGGCCACCCCGTCCGTTCGCCGGCCGTGCAGGCTGGGCCGCCCCCACCGGGATCGAAGAGCCAAAGGCCCAAGGCCTCCAGTGGAGAAGGAGCAACCCTCAAAAGTCGCAAGAAGAGGACATCGACAAGAATGGAGGGAGGTAGCTATGGATCAGTATCTGGATCCATAGATGGTATAATAGCTATATAAGGCGGCCCGGCGGCTATAATATAATATTGGATCCGCATCCAATATGGATCAATGCCAGATACATCCAAATACCACCTAATGTTGGTTCCTTATGGATCCACTGCCACCCTGTGCATGAGAGGGTGTTGTGCTTCACACGTTGATGTCCATTTGGGTTCGGGTCTGTACTACGTACCGAACCTGAGAAGGTGGAAGTGGATCCCTAAAGAATGCTCTACACACCCTAAAACAATGAGGGAGGTTATGCTACGTTGGTCTTCCCAAGTACTGTACGAATACGGAACACACTGGCAAACGAACCATCTTTGGATGCCTTTGGCAAACGCTGGTGGTAACCAACAGAGCCAATGCAGTTCCACCTCACCACAAATGACCATTGAATTGCCGTCACACAAGCGAGACCCTGTTCTGCAACCTTGGGCGTCCCCGCAACAAATTTGCCCCAGCCCTGGGCGAAATTCACCGTGCAGCAGGGGAAGTTCCTTAGAAGGCTGGGCCAAATGGCAGCGACCGTTTTGGATGGTTGTGAAACGTTCTGTGAAATGGCTGTCCTCATCATGACCGCTCAGAATCACAACAGTTTGTATGTTCATGTAGTGCTTGACTTCCGCTGATTATAATTCACGCCGACCAGCGGTGTAAACGGTGCCTACGGTGCGTCAATGCGATCTGTATTTGAGAATCGTTCGCAACGTAGACGCTTGTTTGGTATAAGGCTTGATCAACCATTGCTTCAATCGGGATTTGAGACAAACAGCCTGTCAAACCCCGTGAACCGTCCAGCTTATATAAATCCCAAAAATATCCAAATATGATTAACTGTTTTGCTGACCAAATAGCTTGGAATATCATTGAAGGCGTTGCACCCGCAGGTTTGTGAAACTCTCATGCCCACCACCACCACCACCACCACCACCACCACCACCAAACCTCACAGTCTTCGACCGAGGGGCGGCGAGATGCCGTACATTGTGGCGTCTAAGCCTACATTGCCAAAGACCTGGGCCAGTTTGCCCTCTTTGGCATCTTCACGCTTATGTGGGACTGCTGATGGTTTTTGAACGTGTTCCCGAATGTCTGACATTTGCTCGGATGTGTGTGCTCTCATGTAAAAAAACAAACAAACACCCCATACAACCACGCCAGCGTCGCCGTGCGCCTGTGTGAAGGAATACCTCACAACATGGTGTCCCTCAGAATGTGCTTCAGAACAAAACGGATGATTGATGTTCCCGGAAACACCCTCTCAGGCACTGAAAACCGAAAAGACGGTGTAAGTGCCTAGGTGATGGCGAGAGAAAGAGCTGGCGCCAAATGCAGGGACGTCTCGGACAAGTTTGCTTCCTTTTGGTATCTTCAAGTGGTAAACAGATTAACAAGCAAGAACTACCTACATACAAACCTCCTGTACCCGAGTCCTACGCTCAGCTCGGGCTTTTTTGATCTTTTTCCGGATCAAATGCGAGTTGTCGTTGATCTCCCCAAGGAATCCTTGGTGCTTGGAACGCCATAGACAAATTAAACTACATAATCTTGAAATGTTCAATCCATTTGGAACCAATGTCGTACAATCAAAGCCTTTAAAAGTGCAGCTTGCCTTTGCCAAAACGCACGCGTCCGAGACACTCACTCACCGACGCCTAGTCCGGTCGAGCTGTTCCAGTTCTTCCCTGTTCCCACCCCCGGCCTCTGAGAGGGGGCTCGCTTCGCCCTCAGCGCCCTCGCTGGCGCTCGCGGATTCCTGGTCTTCGGCAGCGACGACTGGTCTCAGACACGACCATCCGGCAGGGCCATCGATGAACCATGGAGTTTAAACCCGTGGTCACCAAGTCTTTTTGAAGCTGTGGGCCCTGAAAACATGTATAATTTACATGCCAGGTGGGCAAAAAAATCGAACCCCCCAAAATCAACTGAATGGTCGAGTCTATGTCTCCCCTCCAAATGTTCACCTAAAGGAGCACCATCGATTGACTGCCATAGATTGACCACCAGCGGTTGAAATACCGACGTTTGGGAGGACCTTCCAAGGGAAGCGTGAAGCTTCAAGAGTTGAGCATTGTCTTGCTTTTGTGCCAGGATAGGAGTTATGGAGTTCTACACGTGAAACGTTCACGAACCTGTGGGTCTAAAATCCCCTTGGCTCATCGATCTAGAAAGAGACATAATTCATATTAGGGTGTATAGCTCAAATAGGGAGACCTCTCAGTTTGACCCCCTGGAAGAAAGGCAATAGACCAAACCCCATTGGTGCTCCCACCACCTACATAGGTGGACAGTTCGTGCTCCCGAATGGGCCAGTTGTTTGTGCAGCTTTGTGGGAGTACTTCCATCAAGGAAGGCAGTCTACCTACAATTTGAAAGCGGCCTGGCGGCCATGTGTAAAGAAGAGTTCTGTGGACGATCCACCAGACTTTTCGTCAGTGTGATTTAGATTGTTTTTGCATGTTGCTGAGGATCTGTTTATGTGCACCTTACGCAATGCTGAAGGTGTCCATGGCATGCGACGCGTGCGTGAAACGACAAAGGCAAAAAAAAACCATTGGTTGGAGGTCACCCATATACAGTAGTATAATACAAGTCATGATTCTTCTTGCAAATGACCCTTCTGGACCCTTCTGGTCATTTTCTTTCAGTCCATTTGGTCCTTTCTGGAGTGGTTGTGCATCGAGCTCATCCGTTCTCTTGACCTGTCTGGGACTGCTGTATTGGCCGATCAATGTGGTTGGTTTGGGGGGGCAATGATGGAGTGTCTGGGTAAGGTGTCCGCAGGGAGCTCCGATAACCAAATCAGGTGAACTTCCGCAGCCTGCGGGCCTCATGACTCATGAGATCACACGCCATCACACGGTCCCATTCGCCACTTGAGGGTCCAAGCAATGCCAGCAAAAATGGCGTTGTTTTGGGTCAAGTACCTCAACGGAGCTGAGCATTGAGTGTGTGACAGTGTGTGAACCAGGTCGCATTCGCTAAAAATCTCTCCCGCGCAGCACTTGTGTGCCAGCAACTTCAGCGCCTGGTTTTGGAGTGCCACCGAAATGAAGAACGACCAAAGAATCTAGATTTGAGAGTTCGGAACCACAGAACTCGGCGCTTCATGTGAAGCGAGGTGAACATGAACTCCCAAGAAATGCCATTAAACTGGGACATGTTGCCTCATCCATCCTGGGAAGGTCCGGAATGTTGGACCGTCCATCCTTGCAACAGAAGGAGCTTCTGGGAACTTGAAGCGCTAATAGCAATGGCCTCCACCCCAGTAGCAATGGCTACTGTAATCATTTTCGAGATCCAACTGGGTATGGAACCGGTCTTGATGGTGAGGAAGAGTAGTTCACATGCTTCGGTTTCGCTTGCGCCTTTCTTCCAACAATCTCTCGAACTGGGTGATGGGCAACAAAGTTGGTTCCTTTCTTGGATGAACCTTCCTTTATTGGAACACCTCCCCAAGCAAATTCAAACCCCTCCCCCTTGCGCCTGTGCGCTAGTGTAATCAAACACCCACGGTCCACCGTCCGGTTTCTTCGCTCTTCGGCTCTCAAGTGGCTGATGGCTCCAGTGGTCGCCACTCACGGCCGCGGGCAGCGCGTTGAAGGCCAAGGCCTCCAGGGCGTCGACCAGCTCGGGCCTCCCGCACTGGGCGGTTGGGCGGCAGAAAGGCGGACAGCGATGGTGGAGCGAAGCGAGATGAAGTGAAGAGGTCGAAGCGAGGCTTTGGGGATGTTTGATGGTTTTTTTGGAGCTGTTCACATGATGAATTGCTCAGACTGCGATGTGTGGGCCATCTTTCGAGGGGTCCAAGGTGCATCCATAAGAGCACTGTCAGCTGCTGTTTGGGTCGACCTGTCCAGCAAAAATGGGCGCTTGAGCCGCAGACAGGGCGCGCATTCGCGCGCCCTGTAGCAGCAAAAAGGGCGTGCCTGTCCGGCAGGGCGGCATAGGTCTCTTCGAGGCTCCGCATGGATTCCACCACCACCTGAGACCAGGACCGGCCCGGCAGATCTGAAGGTGACTGGACGCATCGTTTTTAGGCCTCTTGCCCCTTGGGAATGTGATCAACTGGGAAATCATGAGGAGGTACAGGTATCAGAAGCTATGTGCTATGGAACTAATAAGTCGGCAAGTTCTACACGATGTCAAAAACAAGTGTGTATTTGCGACTTTGTGGGCTTGAAGTTTAAAGGCCTTCTTGCCAGTTGACGTTTCAGGGGGTTCTGAGCCATCACAGGAATAGTCCAAGACGGTGAAAAGCCTCAACCCCCTGGAACTTGAGAGCAACAAACATGCTTTAATGCTCTGACACAAAGTTCCAATTAATATATAGTATAGTTGTAATTAATCATATATATATATAATAGAGTTGTAATGTGTTAATTTTTATACATTATTGTTATTCTTGTTATAATATATCCCCCTGGGCCCCTGTGGATCAAATCCTCAAGACCGTTTATGACCAATCCCTATTGAATCAACCACCACTTGGGATTTGAGGAAAGAATCTTGACAGGGATGTATGTTCTGTAGAGCTTTGAAACGAGGTTGCAACACCAGGGATGGGCTGGAGCTTCTCTGGGCTTCCCCAACACAGAGCTCGGTGCCACGATGAAGTTCTCGACCTGCCAAATGTTCCTTAGATTGCAACAAAGAACTCAGGGTGTTCTTAGACACTGAATTCGATCAAAAGTCTTAAAGACTTAGGTCCATGCTCTGCGCGCTTTCACTCTCGTTCTTGAAAAAGATGGAGAGGATCGATTTCTTGGCCAAGACAACTTCGTCCCAGTACCTGCGCCTCTTTCTAACTCTGAACAACCAAGCCTGAAAGAAATTCAGATATCGAAGATTCTCTGAGCGAACAGGGAATGCAGCATCCACCCCTCAACACAAGGAGCCCTCTTCTGATCTACAGGGTTTGGTTTGTGAACAAATACAAACGGTATTGGTAGGTATGGCCAATCCCAAGCACAAACGCACAAAGGTGTATGAAAGACCCCCTCTTTCGCATGCTTCTCTGGAGAAGCGGAAGTCTAGGCCTTCTCCCCATCTTGCAAAACATTCGAACCGCCAATCCGGCGCCGCCGAGCGCGGCCCTACAAAAGAACGACACCAAAGCCAAGCAGAAGAACCGAAAAAGTCTCAAGGTTTTGTCATTGCCAGTGCCGAAAAACAAAAAAAGCCTGGCCGCGCCGGTTCTCGCCCCCGGACCTTCGTGGTGCATCCCCCCGATTGCGCCACGGGCAACGGCACCGAGGAAAAGCCCCGGCACCGGACCGCTTCGTGGATTTCACCGCCCGACGCTCCATCCTGGGCCGTGCAGTTGTTCTGTTCAACTGTGATTCCCCCGAAAGATGCCGCGGAGCGTCGTCGGCGCCAAAGGCCCCACTGGGCAGACCATGAAACCGCTGCAGCTGCTGCCAGGCATGCAGAGATGCCTGGAAGAAAACCCCCAAGACATTTTGGAGAACAAAAAGAAGAACACCCGAGTGTACAGGTTGGTTGGCCAGTGGGGTGACGCCAAATCTCAAAGACTTGCAACTTGTAGGTTTTACATACTGGGTGGTTCCGTGGTTCTAGATTCTAAGTGGTTTCCATCTTCATCTACAATGCCAGTTTGAAGACCCTGACCCCTGGACTTCAAAAACCGCCCAGAACCACCTTATCACAAAGAGCCGGATTCTACCCCACCTCGGCCAGCGCCGGAGGGCCATAGACATCACTCCAGGCGGCCGCCCACTTCACAGCCACCGCGTTGTTCACACCATGGGAGTAGAGGCTGAAGTTGCCAGCACCTAAAAGGACGACACGACGCCGGGGGGGGGTCGACCCGTATATATGGTTTAAAAGAACTCAGCAAATGGCGAGAGAGAGAGAGAGAGCGCGCGCGCGCGCGCCCGTGCAGGATCTTCGGATCACAACCTCCCAGCGACGAGATCTTCACCCGAAGTGACTGGCTCTCGGTGCGGCCGAGAGATATGGGAGGTGAAGCTGGTCCCGGTTCGGTTTGGCAGTTCGGTCAGGTCCCAGCGGAGGCGTTGGCCGCCCTTTGATTCGTTCGGAACCAGGAGCTCAACAGGTGTCGGTGGAGGCTTTTGACGGGTTTGTGTCGAGCTGCAACTGGCTCGAAGCTTTGTGGTGCGATCCGGGGTATGAAGGCAGACGATGTGGTGGTTCTGTTTCGACCAGGCTTTCAGCTGTGACTTCCCGTGATCTCACGACAAGCAAAACTGAGGGCTCGGGCTCACTTCCGCAGTAGGAAAGCTTCCGTTGAACCAGTTCTGCCAATCATAGCCTTGCCTCAAGTGGAGTGAATTGGCTAAGTCGATGACGACGCTTGGGATTATGTTGCACATCACTGGCACAAGAGAGGTTCTGTCTTCTTCCAGGTGCTGTAATCTTCAGCCCACTTGCTCATCTCAATCAAACTCGCATACGTGATCCTCCCCTCCACATATTGATGTGTCCACTTATATCACTTAAAAACATCTATATCAATCGCATCAGCTGCCACTCACGGACATACACCCTTCAACATCTGCCTTGACCCTTCCAAAGCTGGTATAGAACGGTCACCCTTCGTTCCAAGAACACGGATCCGCCACTTCATCGCCTTCGAACGCGTCCGAGGCACACCCTCGCCAGCCAGGCTAAGACACGCAGCATCGGTCGCTTCGCCAGGCCACAACGCTGGCCTCTCCAACGGTCGGCTTCCCGGGTCGTTCCAATAAGGGGCGGAGGGTGGACATGGGGGGACCTTGCGATGTCTGAGGGAGTTTTGTTGCCACCTCTGGTGAGGAGACCGTCTCAAATGATGGAGGCGTCATGGAAACCCTTCAAACCCTTCAAATATGCCAAACAAAAAAGCGCAAGATTGTAAGATCTCGCACGCTTTTCTACGTCTTAGGATGGTGTGTCCCCTTGGTTGCCAGGGGACGCCAGACTTAGGTGCCAAGCCCCTTTCACCCCTGCTGGTAGATCTTGGCTAACATAGGGTCTACGATCTACCAATACATGGTGGTTCTGAAGATCCCGGGGTATGTACCGCATTCCTCAATGGGTTTGAATGAGTTTGAGATGAGGTTCGCCAAAGGGGTCTGGTTCGTCTTAACAAGACATCTCTCTGCACATCTAAAGGCACGAAACACTGGGAATCAAAGAATCCAATTCAAACAAAGCAGTAGTTGGAGCAGTCGGCATAGTTCTCAGTGGAGTCCAAGCAGCGTGCAGGGGATCTCTCGAGGAAGTTCAAGGTGAGAACCTCACAGTTCCGCTGCGGTGACGTCGCCGCTCCGGTTCTCGAGGGCCCAACGTGTTGCCGATTCGTCGATTCGTCGATTCTGCGTTTCTTCGACCGAGGTTCGAGCAGTCGAAGTGTGGTTGGTTCAAATCCCTGAAACGGTTTCTGCTTGCGATCAGATTTGGAGAAGTATGTCACCAAGAAGCTCTTCCTGGTGCCCAAGCCCAAAGCGTTTAATTCTCGAGGAACGCCAGACGAAACGTCTCTGAGGGTCTGGACCCTCTTCCTCTTCCGGGAGGAACAAGCAAGCCCTTTCAAACAATGCCGGTGAGCAACACCAGCCGTTTCAATTGACCAGATGGCAAGCTTGAAAAGATCACTAGAGAAGCAATCAAAATCATGATGGTGTTCTTATTCGGGCAGTCTCCTATTCTTTTGAACACCCATGTACTGAAGCGATTTGATTGTAGAACAACTCTTTGGACGTGCTTTTGGCGCCTTGAAGGTGTTTGACTTATCAACTTTTGCCAGGAACGATGCATGGCAACATGAGCTTTTTGTGAACTCATTGTGATCCCACAAAATATCTTACAAGTATGCTTCATGATCAAACACTGAATACTAATATGACACAAATAGCTATTTGACGTTGAGGCTTCTAGGGCTCTGTGACCGCAAGCTAGGTGACGCAGTATCGCAAACGAAATCGACATTCCTGTAAGATGGATTGTGATCAACCCCGGAATATGACAGACCCTAGAGCTCCAACCATATCCTCAGGTTCGGTGGTTGGGGTGGGTGCCAGGGGGGCCTAACCACCGAACCTGAGGATATGCTTGCAGTTTCAGGGAGAATAGACAAGATTCTGAGATGATCCTTTCCCAGAATCCCAGGGTTGATCTGATAATTCTATTCTGTCATTCCCATGATTTCACAGAATAGATCATCCCGAATCCCACTTCTTGATGTCCAATCTCTAGGCCATGGAGCCAGCTCACACCATCGGGCCGCACTCCAGGCCACCAATCTCGCACGACCTGTGGCAGGAAAAAGCTCTGGAAAAGCTCTGGAAATACACCCGGCCCGGAAGTGGAAAACCAGGTCAGTTTTGGGTCATTTGGCTGGAGTTGGTCATACAAAATGACTCAAGGAATCTCAAGGAGTTCAGTTTCACCTGGTTTTACTGGGTCTTTGGCTCTTTGGACGTATGTAGAGCCTGGTTGGTCGAGAAAAAGCGAGCGGGGGGGGGCTTCCCTCGTCGTCCCCCCTTCGCCCCAAACCGACGAGGAGGGGTTTCCTTGCCGGAGTCACCGCGGGTTTATCATGGGTTTGCAGGATCAAGGAAGCTGCATCGGTGGATCCAGGGAGCCTCTCAGACTCCAGGCGTTTCGCCAGTTCCACCAAGAACTCTTCCACGGCGCTCAGCGCGCCGCACGCCAAGGGCTCCGGCGCTCGCCACTCGGCAAACTGCGCCTCCGAGGAGCGTGGCGGCAGAGGAGGCGGCGGCGGCGGTTCCGGAGCTCGGCGGGTTCCGGGGTTCGGAAGGCGAATGGGGGGAATGGCAGGAGGGAAGTTCCAACAAGTTCAGAAAAAGTGGCCCAACTCTCACGTTCATCACCTGATTCATTTTTTTTGCCCCGCTTCTTCGGTCCGCGAAAGAAAGAGTTTCGCTCGCAGGGGGCACTTTCTTTACGATGCGACTCTGGCTTCAGCGGAAGAACCTGCTTCCGGAGAACCTGCTTCCACGGTGAAGAGATTCACACCCCGAAAGAACTCTTCGTGGCTCGGTCGGACCGTTTCACAAGGTTTCGGACGTCTAAGGTCCCGGTTCATGAGACACCACCAAGCCGAACAGGAAAGCACAAAGTCGGGACACAGCGCCCTAAAAAACCATCCCTGCCTACATCTTCCAACTGTGCAAAATCATTCTGCCTTTTAGGATCTATAAAACCAGCCGACGGGTCAAGTTCGGCCAGAAATCTTGCATAAGTTGGAAGATCCACGTGCCTGCGACTCTGAACACAGCGGCGGCGCTTTGTGACCGCCCGGAGACGCGCAAGCAAACACACACGCACGCGTGCGAGCAACTGCCTGCGTCAAGTCCAAGGCACCAGTGCTTGCAACAAAGGCCAACGAGACCATAAAGAGGCAGAGAGCAAGCCTGCACGTTCCTCGCCGGAACAGACGAAACCAATTCCTTCCGGAGTCTTCGGGACGCACAAAAACAGGGCAGACAAAAGGCGCAAACCAACTTGGACCCAATTTGATGCCGGCTGAGAAAGGTGAAAGCTTACCAATGTCCTGACCCCTTCAACCCCGCTCCTCTCTTGTTCCCCAGACAGTTCCTTCCATGTCCAAAACCTGCCCCCAAAACCAAACCGGCCCCGAAACCGCCTCCGCGCGCCGTTCCGTCTTCCGTGGCTCCGCACGCTCGCCGTCCGCACGTCCCGGCGACGGACTCGTCGGCGGGAAAGTTCTCCTCGGGATGATCCATGACTCCCTCTGGCCACTCGTCAGGCCCCAACCAACCTGCCCGGCCGCGTTGTTGCCCGACCGCGCTGCGGTGTTAAGCCATGTGCGTTTTGAGTGCATAAGTAGTGCGGGGGACGAAAAAGAGGAGAGAAAGACTTCGGGAGTAAAAACTCACATGCAACCGAACATGTTGAGTGGTGAATTTTGCACGGAACTGTGGATTACGATTTGGATTAAGTAATGTTTTTTGGAGTTCAGCGAACCGCCGCTCGACCTGACGAACTCCTCCCCAATCCCGCGTGGCGGCCACGTTAATTTTTTGAAGATGAAAAGTAGGACGTCTTTCTTTGGAAACCCAGTTTTCAGAGATTCTGCGGTGTTCCTCTACAAGAGAAAGGTGGGGGATCCAGGAGAAACGGGAGGTGGGCGGTCTGATGCTGTGGTGATCGCAGAGTGTAAGTAAGGATTAGTGACGGTAGGACGCATTGGACATGTTTCGCGATCGAGATGAGTGAGACAATTAGTGCAAATGGTAGACAATAGTAGTAGTGAGACAGTCGGTTGAAACCCGCCGAGATTGGACAACGGAATGAACAAGCCCGCAGCAAGCGCGCTGTGAGGGGAACAAACATGCCACGCGGGCCACGAGAACTTGGGCACCACCGTCCCTGTCAACCAAAGTACTGTACTCGTTAAACTTTTTCGTTTGCAATTCACTCATATGAACGTACTTGACTTTCAAAGATCGGCCCTCCGCCCCTACATTTCCAGGGGTGTTCGGCCATGTGCATTGGAACCAAAAGGCCGCTAACAATGGTTGAGTCGGTTGAGGAATGCAACCCTCGAATGTCTTGACATCTCCAATTGACTCCAAGGCGTTTTTCTTCGATCGGGTCACCGGGTCAACCTGATTTCTTTTTGGATTCCATCAGGGCTCGCTCAACTCCGACCTTGTCCCAGACACGACCGCCTGAAGCCCACCCAGCTGCGGGGATTTGTTCGCAGAAACCAGGAAACCAACCAGCAACAAGATCTGGATCAAAGGATCTCAAGCAAGATCCCCTTGGAACAGGACATCTCGTCCAATATTGTTTGCCAAATATGGCATCAATAGGCCACTTGATTCGAAATCACACCGTGGATATCCCCTTTCTTTTCTTCACGATCTTCGTGGTTGTCGTCCGCGCCGGAGCGATGGGAGATGAAGCGCGCGGTTCGAAAGCAACTCTTGGCTATGCGTACTAGTAACTTGTGCGTTGGCTATTTGGAGACCTTTCTAAAGTTGAGGGGTGGGTCATGCGCCAACATTGCTGAACAAGGAGCCTATGAGACCCGTGCGGCCTTGGATGATGAGGATGATGCGGATGATGGTGCCTTCTGTCATGTTTGGGGGAGGGCGTCATCGAACATGACCATGATATACATATATATATATATATACAGTATATATAGAGATAGAGAGAGAGAGAGAGAGCGAGCGAGCGACGTGGCAAAGCGTGTCCGATTGTACGATTGTACGCTGGTACGCTGGCGGTTGGCTGGCAGCGCTGGTTACGCTGGCTAATTACGCTGTTTGCGCTGGTGACGCTGTTTACGCTGGTTAGGTTACGCTGTTTACGCTGGCTACGCTGTTTACGCTGATTGCGCTGTTTACGCTGTTTACGCTGATTACGCTGTTTACGCTGGTTACGCTGGTTACGCTGTTCACGCTGGTTACGCTGTTTACGCTGGTTACGCTGGTTACGCTGATTGCGCTGTTTACGCTGGATACGCTGGTTGACGCTGTGTTCGCTGGTTACGCCGTTAGCACTGGGTACGCTGTTTACATGGATACGCCAGTCAGGTTTCAACGGTGTAACTGTAAACGGTGTAGACGGTGTACAAACAAATTGTGGACACTGATCGCGCCAGTGTATGTCATGGCAACCCTGGCTTAGACATGTCAGTGCTGACAAGTGAAGAACCATGCATGTGCACCTTTCGAAGACCAATGGTCTCAAAGGAGACTCAAAACGTTGCAGGTGGACCGTGCACCTTTCGAAGACCAATTGGCCCGAGAAGCCCTGTGACACCGTGGTGGATAAGTTCTGAAGGCTTGATTATTTTCCCATGGGCGGAGTGGATTTTACCGCACAGGTAGCTATTGCCCAGAGTACTCCCTTCATGGTGTTTTGCCCTTCGTGGCCCATCGACGCCCAATTTGGACTCATGGGCGGGGTGGAGCGGATTCGACAGGCCTAGCTAGTTATTAGGGGTCCAGTTGCATAGATCTGATGAGGTGCTTACATGATCTAGTCGAAAACGTTGATATTTTACCTTATCCACCCTTGCTAGGCTAGGAGGTTCCCTGACAGATCAGCCGGGCTATTGGAACCTCTGGCTGCGGGCCAGGCAAGGAATATGACTACCCAGGAACCCACGTGTCACTCCTGTGGGGCATGGCCGACGTTAGTGTTCCAGCATCATGCTTGGGTCCCATGCAGTAGCTTCTGCATGGTCCTGCGGAGTGGTGCTGGACACACATGCCGCACAGACAGGCACAAGAGGTCAGGCACCATGTGTGGGACGACTTCTATATACCACCCTGCAAGATCCAAATTCCAGTCCTGGATGCAAAAAGATAGCTTTGTGTCCAAACGATAAGACTTGCACACATTTGGAAGAAGATCATCTGAAGCTGCTTTTGGGTTTTGAAGTGCAGTTTTATATCTTTCAGGGCTGACGCAGAGGCCAGGTAGATTCATGCGCATCTGAAGTTGACACGAGGCCAGCCTCAGGGATTCAATCCAACCTGGTTTCCACCTGGCCAGTGTTGGGGAATTAATTGGCAGGCACGCACATGCTTTTGCAGGTTTCATTCTGTAGCGGTTTTCACCTGGTTTCTGGATTGCTTCTACCATGTTTCACAGACAGACCGCGGCCAGGCAGAACCGCATTGCATGGCTTTTGAAGCCGAAGCTGCACATGTTCAAGCATATGCTCAAGCGATGCTTGCGGTGGCTTCATGTCACATGAGGGTTCCATCCAGACTAGTCTATGCTAGGATCTGGTACTGGTCAATAACCTCATTTTATTGGAAGTGGTCCTAGTAACGTAAATAGGTCTTTGGACTTGAGATCATTTGGAACATTGGGCATGCTTCTCGGAGGAGGACAGCATCGGCGTGCTCAAGCATGTGGCCAGAATCCCCCTTACTACTCCCAGTGGTCTGCCGTTTTGCACTTTATAGTAAAATTGCGTTAGAAAATGAAAAATGCGAAGAAGTTTACTATAAAATGAGAAGCCAACCTTAAAGACTTTAAAGTAAAATGCAACAACATCACAGCAAACTGCTACATTGGCCAGATTGCCAAGAGACATGGGTTCCATATGAAATGACTTGAGATTTGCAAAAAATGCTTGAACCAATCTCATAAGATTTTTGTTGGACAAAAGAGTTTAAGGTTTATAAGTTGAAAAATCAACCTATTCTGGAACAAACTTCCTTTTTTTCCTTCTAGCCGCCGCCACAATGAGCTTATGACATGAGTGTCAGTTTCATCATCTTAAAAAAAGGTTCTGCATTCTATAGAAGGACAAATGAGGGGGATTGGCCAGACACGTTTCAGGCCAGCAGTGCGAGAGCTACATGATGAAGGTGGCACGCTTGAGGCTACTTGGCTCAACATTTAGGAGAGCTACGATGCATGTGCAGTGCGTTCATGAATGCGCGGTGCACTTTATGTAACAAGGTTGAAGGTTGCCAAAAAACGTATGCGGAGGACCATGTTATACCAAGTTGTTTGTATGAAAAGTGCAGTCAACATGAGGAGAGTTTGCAGTTGGAGTGTCATCATGTTGCAGGATTGACATGGTGGCTGAGTGGAAGCGATGATCGGAGCAATGCTTAAGAAAAAGTGCTCGGAGAGCGGGTGGGCAGAGTTAAGCAGCTTAAGTAGTCCATATAGAGATGTACTGATGTACTAGTTAAACTAGTCTCCCGGGTCCGCAGGGTGTGATTGAGTGAAATGGCTCTGGTGAGTCTAACCGTGGCCCTCGTTGCTTCTCTACTGTCAGGGTGGTCAGATCAAAACCCAAACAAGACATCATTGCCAGTAGGTTGGAGGCCACCACTATTAGGTTGAAGGCCATGGCCAGTAGGTTGGATGCCATCGCTAGTAGGTTGGAGGCCATTGTTATTAGGTTGGAGGCCATTGCTATTGGGTTGGAGGCCATTGTTATAAGGTTGGAGGCCATTGCTATTGGGTTGGAGGCCATTGCTATTAGGTTGGAGGCCATTGCTATAAGGGAAGTGTGATTCCACTGGCAAGAGGATGTCCTTCCGAATTTTCAAATAGGCCGGCCTTTTTCAGGGGTGTCCTCGGCCCCCTGAGAATCCTGAGGTTTGGACCGGACAAGACAGGACATGAACATCCAGCATGGAAAAAAACCAGACTTGACTCATGCAAAGCATCACCAGCCACCATCCTTTCACCAGCCACCGGCACCTCCGTCCCCCATCCGCACTCGCCGCACTCGCCGCACCTGGCGGTCCACCTGTCTCAAGCACTCGTCGAACGGCATCGGTGCACTGCTGGGCCAAGCGAGGACTCTTCGAGGCTGCTGCCAAGGGCACCAGACCGTTGAGAGCGTAGGGGAAGTCCTGGCCCAGGTGGCCCAGGTGGCCGAGGTGGCCACGGTCAGAAGGGGGGGGGACGGAGGTCATGCGCGTGCGCAGCGTGCCAGACGGACACATGTCGGTGGGTGTTCACCAAAGGTTCCCGTTGTTCCCAGCCAAGCTGAAGGATGATGCACTTGTCATCAAACACCATGAGAAGGGAGTTGGGTCTTCACCAGCCAGGCTGATTTCGGGTTGGCGAGTGGCTTCCAGTGCTTGCGGATCCAATCTAAGGCTACCTTTATAGAGTCTAGAGATGTTCCGGCCAAACCCCAATCTGTAGAATCAGCCACTGGTCAAACCGCAAAAGAAGGTTGGCCAAGGCAGGACATGGTTGGGAGATCTGAATCTCATTGACGTTGAAGATTCCTAAGATTCCTTTGCCCGTCCTTTCTTCCTGTCCCTTCCTGTCCCTTCCTGTCCCTTTCCCTTCCCTTCCCTTTCCTTCCATCTGAAGCCTGGATAAAAAACCTCTTAGGTTCATGTTCTTTCTCCCATTTGGCATCGTTTTCGCATGAGAACTTGTTCGCAAAACTGAACAGCTGAAAAACACATCAGTCCCGCACAGTTCGCCTCCAGCAAGCTGGAATACGAAGACCTAGGGCTGCAGGATTGGCTCGAAAAACCACTCACTCTGCAGAGTGGAACGACTCAAATTTCGTCAACACCCCCCTGAGCTTTTCTTTCCAATAAGGTCCCTAGAGTGTCGAATGCACCCCCGAAGGCCACCGTGCCATTTCGCGAGAGCGCATGAGACGTCTCTGTTGGTTGTGAATCATCTAGGGGCCAACTTGGAGTCATGTTGGGCTGCTTATCGGTACCACACAGTCACCTACCATGCTATTAGAGTCCTAGGTCCAGAAAACTCCCAAGGAACTACTCACTGGTCATTCAAACGGATCTTCACCACCAGTGAAACACTGGAAGTTCCGAGCTGCCCTTGTGGCCTGCTGCAGGAACGCAAGAAGAGGTGGAATGCGGAGTGGTTAAGAAAGAGCAATCGGCTCCTCCTGCATTTCATGGTGCACCAACTCCGAGGCCTGTGCTAAGCACTTAAAAAGAGCATAGCTGCTACCGGTGCACAGCTCAGATACCGGTGCACAGGCCAACTATAGTCAAAGCATGGGAAACAGGAAGGAAGGATCTAAATGCTCTATGCTCTTACCCCGTTGAGTGTGCCGTTGGTGTCAGCAAACAGGCAGCGCAGTGAGCTAAATCTCAAAAGCACTGAGTGGAACACAGCTGCAATACATAGATTCCGTCGGCTCATCGCCACTCCCATCATTCACACTAAATCGTTTCCACAGTAGATGACTGTTTTGATATTCGCCCCAGACACGGATGGCAAAAGCTCTTTATATATATATATATATATGGGAGGTTGATGAAATGTTGGGTTCAGTAGAGGAAACTGGCCGAAGTCTACTGAAGTCAATTCTCAGGGTCCATCGGATCGTCAAAAAAGTCTAAGAGTCTACACTGTCTACACTCCATCATCGAAGTGGAGTGTAGAAAACCACCTGTTTGCTTGTTATTCACATGGTCGGGGCCATGCTCCAAAAACCCAGACTGTAAATTCCAGGGAGTCTGCATCCAATGTTGGGCACACCGGGGTTCATCCGTTGCTGTCCAAGCAGGTCCAGTCCCATCCGGGCCCCAGGACCGACCGCCCACGAAGTTGGAGTCCACCACGGGGGGATAGAACCTCGGTCGTCATGGGTTGAAGGGAAAATCTGGAAACATCAGGAAAGCCCAAGAACAAAATATACAGTACGTCAGCAGCGTGGCTCGGTCAAGCAAGGAAAACCCAAACCATGGAGTGTTCATCCCCCAAACCATGGGGTTTTCCTGTCGATGGTTTGAAAACTCCTTCGACTCAGAGATCACATTGGACTGAAGGCACGCCAGTCGTCTGCTGCGAAAGGTGGTTTGGGAACGAAACGAAAAAGAAACGTCGGAGGAAACGCCAATCCAAAGATCAACCGGCCATACAGCAGCATACAGAACATCGGCCATGCAGACTCTTGAGATCTCCTTGATTATAAATGTCACCACCCCAGGCAGAAGAGGTTTGTTCAATCCATATCTGGGGGGGTTATGAATCAAAAGCCTACATGATGGATCAGAATTTCTTCGCTGTCATCTCACTATATTTCTACTATTACTATAGTGCTGAGCTGGCAAGTTTGTCTAAACTTGGCACTTCCGCAAGCAGTCAGTACTTTCGCAGTTCCACAAGCGCCCAACATACCGTGCTGGAAGGGTTTCAACATACCGTGCGTTCCATGCGCCGAGCGGATGGGCCCTACCCGTGCTGATCGGAGCGAGGTTCGGATCGGATCGGTCTCGCCATCGGATCGGCACGGTGGCCAGAGAGGCTGAATGAAGACAGAGACGCAGAGACCCTACTTAATGTAGACTCTTGATGAATAACGCCCTCGTTTGAATTGGAAATCCTCTTCATATGGGGATGCCATGAGTCTACATTAGAGTGGATGCCATGCTTTTTGGAACACAAAACCGGTGGCACCAAATAAAAACCGGTGAATATGGCCGGTCCATACAGCCTCACGACCGACCTAGTTCTAGTCGGGGTCCTGGTGTCCTGGTATGGGGTCCCATGTTGGTCACACTGGACCTGCGTGAGCCGGTCACTGCTAGCCTGAACGTGCTGGGTCGAACCCCGAGCTTCCGCGCTCAAAGAGATGCCCCGGCAAGCCGTTGGCGCTGCGCTGCACCACCTGGTCCAAGGAAGACGAGACAAACACAGGAGTGGATGAAATACTTATTATATAATTATATAATATATATATATATATATTGCAAATATACAGTACATCATGCACTCTTGACTCTTGATTCATAAAGGCCGATATACACGTTGCAGTATGGGTGTAGATGGGTACTTTTGACTATGTAACACATCTATATACACACCCTAGAAGTCCAGTTTGACTATACTTTTCCTACGTGAAGCAAAGGACATTCCCCTTCAGGCACCCTAAAGACCATTCTCTTATAGTCATTTATATTGTATTGTATACTGTTTTTTCTACTAGCTGATATATATATATAATTATATATATATACTACCCATCTGGTGCTCTTATTCCGAGTGTAGCTGTAGCTGGGTATCTGTTGGAGTAGGGGAACCCCACCTGGCGCGCAACGAGGTTGCAACTGTTGTGTTTTCTATTGCGAAAGGGGATGTGGCCCGCGGCTGTTCCAATACAAACTCATGACCCAATGGATCGATGGTGAATCCCCTCTCAGCCCTGGTGTTCTATCCACGAGTTTTCTATCCACAAAAAGCATGTCCAATAGGGCTACAGTAGCTCTCTAGATGTCTGCCGCTGCGTCTGCCGCTCCTTGCTGCGCATGTGATCGATGTAGGGCGCTTTGTCTTTGTTCACTTGGTCAAGTCGCCTGTCATTCTGACTGGGTGTCCTGGCTGGAGGTCCGTAAGCATCATATGCCTCTAGGATAGTCTGTAGGGTAGTCTAGCCAGGACACCCAAACAGGATGACCCAGCCAGATTTCTGGAGAACACACATAAAACATCAGTAAACCAACAACACGCACCCCTCAATGCTTTCAGGTGGCACCTGATGACCGGTTTTCCAGGAGACTGGAAAGGTTTCTTACCGCCTTCGGGTTGCTTTGTGGGATCTTTGTACATTCAAAAAGCTTTCCTTGCAGCTTCAAGATTCATGTTGGTTTTCATAGTCAGAACTCCTCAGATGCTCCGCGTCACCTTAGTCTTTTATATTGCCTTCCACATCCCACATCCCCTTTCAAAGGAGCACATCCCACATCTCACCAGGTCTCACCACTTCATCCGCAAGTTGCATAGTAGGTCATTAGGTAAGCACTTCATCCAGTCCCTTCATCCACCCTCACCTGCAGAAGCCATCCATGAGTTCCATCTGGCCCCTTCACCCGCCTCCTCGAGCCACCCTGTCGGCGTCACCGAACCCAAAGGTGGCGCCCGGGCGCGGCGAGGTCGCCTTGGACGGTCCAGGGAGTCCCTTGGACACTGCGAAGAAGAAAAGGATAACCTGTTTAGTGTGACATCATCCACCGGTATATGTGAATCACCGAAAAAATAAAAATAAAGGTCGACCTGTGCTTCCAAACCTGTCCCCCCCCCAACCGGCGCCGAGGCTCGGTGCACGCTCTCTCGGCTCGGCCTGGCGGCCGTGGTGTGTTTGGTGCCACGGAGGACGGAGAACGGTTTCACCGGCGGCGGCTCGGGGCGCCTGGACCGTCAGGAGCTCCTCCAGGCGAGCCACTTCTTCACAGTCCGATGGATCCAAAGCACCTCCGATACGGTTCGACAGCTACGGTTTGGGTGTAATCAGCTTGGTGGAGTCCGGGTTGGTAGGGTGAGAAGTGATCAATGGTCTTTGGGGCGATGAATGGCGATGATAGTACCCTGATGTATAAGACTTAGACAATAAGACTTAGACATACTTAGACGGGGAAACCTCGACGGAAGGAACTGCAAACGTATCCCGACTGCAGCTGCCTGCCAGCTGATTGCGCAGTGCGGCAGACGCTGACAGAAGCTCGGCCGCCTCCGATTCGTGCATGCGTGGGAGACTTGGGATGCTCGTGGGTCGGCAGTGCTTGGAGGTGGAAACGCCGACCCCACGTTCGCGCTGGAAAGGCTGTAGCCTAAGCCTTTATCAGAAGGAGTCGGATCATGGGATTGCACCAAAATGAGCCGCTGACGTCACCAGGTATTGGTTATGCGCTCGTCATGCGATTGAAGGACAAGAACTCGTTTTGGGAATCTCGCAGCTGTCTCTGTGGATGTGTTCCATCCAAAGGATAGGAGCCCCCCCCCCAGAGTCCCACACCTCACAGTGGTTTCAGAGTAGATAGCACAAACCCCAAGATTTCTTTTATGTGCGGGTCCGTATAAACCAACAAACTTGGGGATCGAGATATATATATAGATATGTGTATATACTCTCCTGGACCCGGCTCTACAGGTCTCCTCTGGTGGCTGAAAGGCAGACTTAAAAGTCGCAGGTGGTGACCTGGCAGGTTTCGGGTGCTGGCTGAAACTAATATGATCATATTCCACTGCCACTGGGACTGGGCCTGTGCTTGTGAGGGCGGTGGTGCTCGGGTAGGGGATTCGATGACACTTCCCGCACCTGGTGGTTCAACTTTCGCATACAAGCCGGGATGGAAAGATGGTATTCCCATGCCCTAGGCTTCCAATCACCATTGATTTAGTATTTACCGAGCCACCATTGTTCTACCAAGGACTTTAGACTGCAACACTAGGTCAACCCATAGTGAAAACGCACATGTTGGACCATGCTGGACACCAGCAGCTCAGGGGGGCTGCACATCCGAGCCAGCCCAAACTGAAGTTTCTGAGAAGGATTAAAGGAATTCTCGTCCAAATCCAATGATGTCCGCCCTTGGGAACAATAGATCAGATAATATAATACAGTGGTCAGTTGAATGTACTACAGTACATATTGGTTGTTCGCGACCAGGGGTCCCCTCTATTCATCAACCAACGCTATTTATGATCCAAGTCCTCTGAATGTGCGCAGGTCTTCCAATCCTCTATCTGCTTCGTCCCTGGTGAACACCTTCAATTGGTCCCTCCTGACCGCCGCGTGTGGTGTAAGCCACGTGTGTCGGGCTGCCACGCGTATGGTGTCGTGCCTCTGGATCTTGAAGTAACTCAAAGAAGGCTGGCCAATTGGCTGTTGTCGGCCTCTCAGGTAAGTTGCACACGACACCGCTGATGGACGGCAAAATCCTGGTCCCCGACTGATGAGGCGGGCAACAACCGTGACACTCACCTGGTCAACCCTGATGTTCACATCAAACCGTTGACAACATCAAAAAAACAACAACAAACAACGTCAATGCAGGTCAATCTTTGAGACAGCCAGCCACATCTTCTTCCTCTTGGCAATTCACCCGACTTTCAGGAAATCAGGAAATTGGCCCCCAGTCCAGCCAGAAAATCTGGATGAAACTGTTGGAAACCACTTTCACTCCCCTCCTCCACCTGGTGAACGATTGTCCGACCTCGTGTCACCTGGTCTGTGGTTTTTTTCGTGTCACCTGGTTCCATCCGACGCAGCTCCTTTTTCGAGCTCCTTCTCTCCAGAACGTCGCGTCACGTTGAGACTCACCAGGTCCTAGGCTTTCAAAAGGGTGCCAAAAGGAAAAGTGCAACAAACAAATGAAAACAAAAACGTGCCAAGAAGGTCAGAGGCAAAACGCTGCGATTGGTGTGCACGGTTCCTTTCGGATTGGAGCTTCCCGGAAGCACCACCCTTTAACCGTTAAGCGTGTCACTCTAGCCTTTCTGACATGCCTCTCCTGTGTGGCCTTTGTAACGCGTTTTTGTTCACGTCCGAGGTCCGCCCAATTCACCGAATCTGATGCAGTTCACACCGGCCACAATGCAGATCAACAGTGTTGATGCGAACAAAATTCTGCCATGCGAACAAAATTCTGCCTCAAAACACCAAACATCTTTGTCATATTGAGTAAAGCATAGCTTGCAAGCCTTTGTATCTATAGCAGGACACCCCCAAAAAAGCGAGTTTCTTGCACCTGTTTCACCCCCCCAAAGAAGTCCTAGTGGTCCAGTTTTTTCCAGTTCCATACCCAAGAAGGACCTCTCTGGTAGCTACACAGGATCGATTTTCTTTGAGGATGAGACCTCTTTTTCTAGTTTACACTCCCGAAAACTAACATAGACCCTGACAATGGCCCCATGGAAAGATGATTTTCCTCTACCAACCAGTGGTGTTCAGGGTCCACGATAGTCTTCCAGGGTGTAGTTCTGGATCTCTTCAGGGTGTCACACCCCCGCGACTCACTTTTGCAAGCACCCCCAATTTCAGGAGGAACACCATCTTCCACAGGGCTGTTCAACAAGCACAAACACTCCATCACCACTGGAAGATATCTCTACATCGACCCTTCAAACCACCCCCCCAAATGATCCAGTCCCATGGAGTGTTTGGGATATCCATCCACCCAAACCCTCCTTCCCCCGTCCCCGGACTGCCGAACCCCCAGACACCGCGCAACGACGCCAGTACCCGCGCCACGACGCACGGTCGTCCATGGCACTGTCCCTGGGCTGCCGGCGCACTCCAGTCATCGGCTGCGGCAGGCGCATCCCACGAGCCATCGCCCGCGGCGTTGGTCATGTCGTCCCAGTTGCCCCCAGTGCCTGACGTTGGTCGTGAAGGAGGGAGGCTGAAGGAGTCATTTGGATCCGAGACGGGTGAAAGGTGTCAAGAACATACCGAAACCACGCGCCAGCCCCACCGAAAGCACCTGGACGACCCAATCTTTTCACCGAGAGAAGCGTCACTTTACCCATCTCCAGCCACCAGCCCTGAAAAACCCAGGTGAAAAGGAGGGGTGTCACAACCAATGAGCACTGGATGCTCGGGCGGTGCACTGGACCTTGCGAAAACGGTGACTGATCCTGATCCCGGCGATGTTGCGTGGCAAAGTGGGGAGATGATCCATGGCACTGTTTTTTCAAGATGGGTCTTTGTCCACATCCATGTTGCAAGAGAACAAAGTGTCTTCACAAAAATCATCTTTTCACTTTTCACTGAGCTCTGAAGAGGCGGCATTTTGCGGCCTCACCAGTGAGAAAGGATAGGGTCACGCAGACCTCCAACTCAAGAGCATAGATCGTTGACGATCGTCCACCTCAATTGCCAGCCGTGGGTCGCTCCCAGCGGCTGGCAAGCATGTCATCCCTGCCGCCCTCCTTCTGGTGGAGCCACCAGGCAGCTGTCGTTGGAACCATTCATCGATGATGTCCCGTCGAACTGGTGACCACGCAACTGGCAAGCATTGACACCAGTGGGACAGAATGGCCGATCCGGGCCGCTGCAACCGAAACAACCGAGGTGCCTGTAGATGTTGCAGCATCAGACGGAGAGCTTTACTGAACCATTTCACTTGGACAGGAAATTCATGACCTCGAAGCCTTTCAAGTCCAGGGAGATTAGGATCACTCCATCGGCGAGTGGCCGAATGGAAGTAGGGGCCTACCATGCCGAAGGCCATCTGGTAGTCTACATAGAGCTGGGCTGGGGACACCCAGCTTCCCCATACATGGCCTGTGCAGACCGTCTGGAACCATTTCCACAGGCGATGAGCCTGATGGGAACCAAACACACTCAGCAATGCGTGCGGCATGGATGTCTCCTGCGAACACTGCACACACTGGGCCAATGGTAGGCGTGCTTCCAGGACAACTTGACGCATCTGTGGCCCCCCTTCCCGAGGACGAAGCCTCAGTGACTCTTCCCCAATGTTGCAATGAAGTTGCACAACATAGTTGCTAACTGCTTCTGCTTCCTGCAACTGAGATAGTAGGCGAGTCCACACTTGCCAAAATTCCGGTGGCCGAGCATAGTTAAAATGCTTAGCCTGCATGTCAGCCTGATCGTTGAGTCCTCTTGCCCAGTCCTCGACCGGGCCCGCCACCGAAGAGCCTACATGCGCAGCAACTTTGTGAATCGTGATGTCGTGGTCACGGCCCAGTTCAGTCCCAATTTGTTCCCACAAATCTGCGTCATGGGCATTCGAACGCCCAGGGAGAGGAGTTGCAAGCAAGAGCTTCACCTTCTTTACCACGTTGTCACAATCCGACCATATTCGTGTGCGTCGACCAGAACGAATCCCTATTCGAATCGCTGCTAAAACTGCCACCAGTTCTGCTCGGCCACTTGTTCGCCACAATCCATGGAGTGCCCCCCCAGCGAGGCAGTCCGACCAACCATCATCAGTTGCCATCGACCCTTGGAGAACTGCCCAAGCCGCAAATCTCATCCGCGGGAATTGGGGAAAAAGGCAGCTACCATCTGTAAACAAGTCCAACTCTCCTCCCCCAACAGGAGTCTCCAGCTGATGAGATGCATCGGGAATACTATCCAACAGCTGGAAAAAAGTCAATTGAGCTGGTGGGGCTTGTATCCAACAATGCAAGCGTGTACACTCAGGCAAGGATTCAACATGCGATGGTCGGAGATGTGCCAGTTGGTCTCGAACATGGGCAAAGGTTGAACAGTGCCAAATGCGATGCTCAATGCTGTCTTGCTCACCACAATGGAGGCACTTGTCATCCCCATCCGTTGATGAGTACTTGAGACCATCCTGGGTGAAGAAGGTGCCATCATGAGCTGTACGCAACAACCCACGTTGTACATCTGTCAATGGCAGGTGACAGCCTTGTGACAACTGAGCATCAGCCAGGCCCATGCCTGCAAACCCCCGACGTGATTGGCACAGGGTCCCAACCATGGTCTGCCAAGCATAAACAGCCCGGAACTCCAACTCTTTGAGAGAGATACGCCACAAGCTGAATGCCCCAATGCGATCCAACAACAAACCTTGTGACACATCCCAGCTCCATTGAATCCGGAGGCAGCCCATGAAGAACACCCACAGAGGACCCGGTGGAAACTTGCCCTCCTGTTGAGTAAGAATCCACTGCAAATCAATTTGGACATCCTGCTCATTCTGGAGTCGTCGAAAATCCAAAAGAGTATGCCAGAATGCAAAAAATTCCGGATCATGAACAGGGTGAAAATGCATGCTCAGCAACAGCAATGAATTTGTACCCGGTTTGTCGAGATTGAGGCCTCGCACAGCTCCTGCTCTCAATGTGACAAACTGCTGTTCCAAAATCCGAACCGATGCGCAAGCATGTAAAGCCCGAGGCCAGGCCGCTGTTCTCACTGCCCGCAACTTCTGAGCGAAAGGAGCACATGACACCCGAAGTCGCCCCCATAATGGAGCCATGGCTTCAAACCTAACTGCCTGTAGGCCTGTAGTATGGCGTCGCCCATAAAACACACAGCCTCCCAAGTCTTTGGCCCAATGTTGCAATGGCAGATGTAGCTGTTTCAACTGCTGCCGTTGATGACCGTGAGTGGCCCAGACGTACGTTTTGTTCCAATCCACTTCTAGTGCCATGATCTCAGTGAAATCTCGGAACTCGACCAAGGCCATCTGGAGAGCCCTTGGGGAGGTTGCCGTAATCTCCCAGTTGTCCACATAGGAAACAGGTGTAACCATGGGCACTTGTGTAGACATCCAGCAATCGAAACTAATAGCAACTGCAGCCATGGCCACGCATGACAAGGGATCACCCTCTGGAAAGCCATTGCATCCAACCACAGGGGGTCCAACGGATCCCCTGACCCGAAAATGCCGCTGAAGGGGAATGACGGCTCCTGCCCAAGCCCGGATCAACCCAACTGCAAGACCCAGTTCATTGCAAATCATCCACGTGGGAAGACGAGGAAGGACATTGAATGCCTTGACCAAATCAGCCACCAAGCCAACGACTGGGCGATCATAGATCTGAGCCTGCTCAAGCCTTCTCTGCAAAGCGAACCAAACTTGACCTGCAGTTTTTCCGGGCAAATTCCCAATGACCTGGGGACTCGCAAGATGTCCCAAATGACCTAAGGCTTGGCGAGCCCGGATAGTACTCCAGACCCGATACACCATGGACAGTACAGTGATTGGGCGGAACTGCTGCACCTTAGTTGCACCAGGAACTTTTGCCAATGCCGTGATGATCCCAACCAATGCTTGTTGTGGCCAATGACCTCGGTCTTCAGCATAATGACACAGATCAATCAATTCCTGTGTCAACCCATCAGGCATCTGGAGTAGATCAAGGCGACTGATCCCATCCGGCCCGGTAGCCGAACACTTCTTCTTTGACTGTACTGCTTGTCTCCACTGTGCCAGGGTGATAGGCTCTAACTGCATCAAGGCCCTTGGTAGGAGAGGAAGAATTTCATCCTGAACTCTCTGCCATCGTCCCGGCCCATCGTCAGCATTTCGGTGCCACCATCGTTCCCATTCTCTGCCAAAAGCCCGAAACAAGGAAGGCAAATCTCCTGTGGCTGTCTCTTGGCGCACTGTTGCCCCAGGGGTCACCCCCGTCACGTCTTCTAGCCAAAGCTTATCCGGTGTAGTGTGAATGACTTCCCGTGACCGGCCCGCAATCACCACCGGAGCATTGATTTGGAATGTGGTGTCTTCTTGAAGGATAACAGCCGAATCGACAAAGTCAACCTCTTCGACCTTACTGCTGACGGCTTGGATCAATATCTCAACTGACGATGCCCGCTCTTCTTTGAGGTCTCGAAAGATGAGGCTAGGATCCTCCACCCGGCGCTGGTGCGCCGTCCTGATCCGGGTCGACTTCAGTTGTTGTTCAAGGCTTCGGACACGGGTGCGGAAGCTGTCAAAGAAAGCATATGCAATCTCATAGCCCGGTGGAGCCAGGGGGACTGCCGCCGGTGCCCCTTCCAATCCTATGCCATGTAGTGACCACCAGTGAGCAAAGCCTAGGCCAAAACCCGCTGCACATCTAATGGCACACCAAAGCTCACTTTGTTGGTGAATCTGATGGACTGTCATCACTTCCCGACCCACCAATCTATAGTATGCTTGCAGACGACGCAGCTGGCGAAACCATTGAGCATGGAGGCGGGAAGGCCCGAAAAATTCAGGAGCAACCTCCCCCGCCCGTCCCTTCCTCACCGGAGGAATCTGGGCTGATCGAACTTGCACCTGATCAGTGGTAGCTCTCCCCAAGTGGATCGGTTGCAAAGGTTCCTGATGAGCAAGGGCTGTTTGGTGTTGTAGTACAGTTTCAAACTGAGCAAAAATGGCCTTGTACCACTCAGATGGATTTGTCCCCACCAGACCTGACCCTTGTGCACAATCAAGCGGCTGCTTCCCCAACTCCTGCTGCCTGGGGGGTGGGACTGGAGTCCTCCAGTAAGAGCGAGGAATCTGACTCCGCATGCCACGGAAAATCCCAGTAACCACTGCATGATCCGCAAACAGATCTGGCACTATCTCAATGCCCACCAGACAATGTTGCAACTCCGGGGACAGGAAAATCAAATCAGGCTGTGTGCGATCTTTACATGTCATTTGCACCTCATGCCCCCACCGAGCTGCAGCCACCTCCTGTAACTCCCGAAACCCCAGGGATCGCAAATGCTGTAAACACAGCAAGTCATCAGCCAAAGCATTGAAATCCCCCATAATGAACCGAGGGCCAATGGCCTCAAGAGCAATGCGCTGGATCGCATAGTCAGCAAGCTGATCTGTAAGGATCTTCGGAGCCGTGCCATTGAGCTGTGATGCATATCCATAGATGATGCCCCCTTGGAC